GGAAAAACGCGCGGGAGCTGGACAGAGTTAAGACGCTACCACCACTTTCAGTCAGTTCACGCGAGTCTTATTTTCGCTCTGACAGCCTGGCACGGGCTAGAGAAAGGAGACACACGAGTGAAGGAGACGCTCGCGGCTTTACCTACTGCGGCTCCCTCGCTTGTTTGCTCGAAACTCGAAATAGGCAGTGAGCTTAGGCCAAATGCAGAAATTAATCCGGCGTGAGTAATTTTATGCAATCATCTTCTACCAGGCCAATCGTATATATTTTCAACTTTTGGCGGCTCCACCACGAAAAAAAACATACGGTATCCGTCTGATGCTTTACAGCATTCTCCCTGTAGCGTCAGGAAAAAGCCGACATTTCAATTCGCGACGCCACCACTGGTTTCCTCGCGAACTGACGTCTTAGAAACGAGTGAAGAAATTCCATTCTCATGACGCGTCACTATACAGATCTGGGTAGTGTTTCTGGTTGGTTGAAAATTTGGTTCATCCAATCAGAAGCACTACCCATATCTTGGTAGTGACGCGTCATTAGTATGGAATTTCTGCACTCGTTTCTCAGACGTCATTTCGCGAGGAAACCAGTGGTGGCGTCGCGGAATGTCGACTGTTTTCTCAGGCTACACTCGGTCTCTAATCCTGCCGGCTTAACGCAAGCGCTTCATGTCTCATGAAAAAAGCAATCCACCGGAAGCAGAAGGACAAACAAAAAAAAAACTCTCTAACCTGGAGTAAGACACATAACCCATGTTTGGTGGTGACGTGAGCGTATTTCTCGCATTTCTGAGACTCTTTTGACAATCCTCTGAATATTGAGCAAGCTTCTTCAAACTTCTTACCAGCATGCTCTGCACCGTCGCCTTTGCAGTGATCTGCGTCATCTAGACAACGAAAACCAAGGGAATTTAAGCTGTATGCAAGTCTCTTACCGTCACCTACGGAGTCCCCAGCGATCTTACAGCACTTTTGGTACAAAAGGGTACATTCCATAGGTGGTGATAACACTTTAGCTAAGAAGTCCACTACTTCATTAGCAACATCAACGGCAAAAATTTTTTCTTTGGGCTCACTAGAGTCACATAGACAGTTCTCAAATGCTTCCATGATATTTTGTTTGTCTTCCCTGAACCTTTGAATGGCCTCTAAAGAAGAATCTTTTGTAAGAAACAGATTGTGAAGATCTTGCAGAATCTTGAGGTAGTGATGATTGAAAGCCTTCTCTGCGGAGCGCCCTTCATCAACCATGCCCAAGGTTTCTCTTTCCGCTTTGCAAAAAGTCTTAACGAGTGGATGAATAGTAAAAATGTTCCCATCATTCAACTTTTCAAGCAAACAGTGCTGAATCATTTTTGTCTTCACAGCTTCCTCTTCAAAATCATCCTCGAACAAAAACTGGATTTCTTTCACAGAAAAACTCTTTGGGAATACGGAAAGGCGGACTAGATTCCTCAACACCTGTTCAGGCAAAAGACGAAAAAAGCGGCCAATGTTCGTATAAATCCGGTTTAGATGTTCGCTACCGCGTATAACTCTCACAGGGTTTTTTCTCAGCTGTCGGGCAAAAACTTCGGGGCAGAAGCCATCCGCCATAATTGAACCACTGCAGCCAAGAAATAAGGGTATCCCGTCGCACAACTTGCCAATCTCTTCAGCAATAGCTTTTGAAATTCGTGGTGCTATTTGCATCAATAGTTTAGACGATGAGGAAGAATCTAAAGGATCGAGGCGAATCTTATGAATGCTGGCTGAAATGAGGCTGTTGATAATGATGTCACACTGTGTTGTTATGATTGTTCGAATCCTCGGCGCAAACTTCACCATGTGTTCAAAAAAGTCATAGAACTCATTTTCTTTTTGTGCATGTTCTGTGTTCTCAAGAATGAGTATCGTGTCGTCTTCGAGCTCCGATAGCTTTCGCTCGCAGTGTGAAATCACATCTTTGTTTAATGTCCAGTGCCGATGATCTACCTGATAGAGAATTTCTTGGCAGATCTCCATGAGTTTTTTCTCCTTGACGTACACAACAGGCCAGAGTTCTTTTTGTAACAGGTGTCCGACACATGTTGCAACCTCTGTCTTGCCCATGCCAGGTAAAGCGACGATAATAATCATGCGCGATGAATTTGTTGTCAACGTTTCCTTGATTTGATCTACGACAGCATCCCTTCCAACAAAGTAGTTGGACTGGCATGGTAGTTTGCTTGTCCGTCGTGGTACTAAAATAAAGAAAAAAAAGTCGCTTAGCACGCCATCCTTCTTATGATTATCGTTATCTCTTATTTGGCCTCAAAATTATGATTATCATTACTTTGGGGCACAGACAAATGACTCGGGTCAAGTCCCTCTCGAAAGTTCGGAACTTGGCTTTAGTCTGTCTTGAAAATCAGAAAGGTCAAGGTAAGTGTATGCTAATTTGGAGTATTTTTTTTTCCCAAAGAAAGATTCACTAAGTGGTTAGCCAATAAAAGACTTTAACACGTTAGGTCGTACACACATAAAGGGAAAGAGGAAAGGAATGACTCTTAATAAATCAATAGCGTAGATTCTAAATCCTTACCCATAGAGATAAGAATGATATCTTCTTGTAGTGTTAGGGTTAGGGGTCGGCTTACGTTTAGGTTTAGGGCTAGGGTATGGGTTGGGGTGTGGGTCAGGGCCCTCAAAATTGCGAGAATCGTCATTTTGAGGCCAAGTAAGAAATAACGATAATCGTGATTTCGGTGTCGAGATCATGCTGCAAGATATCATCCAGGGAAACCTCGTTCCCAGGATGCTCTACTACTCCTCCCTCTCTGGCTGCAGGAGACGAGTAGGAGAAGACCCTGGGAACGCGGTTGTTAACCAGTGTTCAGGACTGTTTCCTGCGCATACCTGCGCGAAAATCGCAGTAGGGCTCGTGCTTTAAAAAACTTTTGCAAACAATACTAGTTCTGAAGGGTTGATAGTTCAAGACTTGGCCCTTTCAATAAAAAAAAACCCCATATATTTGAAAACAGATACCGAATTTTTTATTACTTTCAATCTAGTAATTTTGTACATTTTTTGATATGATGCGTAGTGGTGTTAATAGTAAATCGTGCGTAGCGCTATAACATAACATAACACAAATGTGAGGATCTCCTCCCAGTTCTCACAAAAATCGTTAACAACTCTTTGCAGTCCGGGCGTTTTCCTGAAATTTGGAAAGAGGCTTTAGTTTTTCCGCTGTTAAAGAAACCCGGTCTCGATGTCACGAGAAATTCCTTCTCGTGAGCAACTTGTCTTTTGTATCTAAACTTATTGAAAGGGCTGCTTTTAATCAGATTCATGATCACCTGGTTCGTAATAACTTATACCCAGTTGCGCAGTCTGCTTATAGAAGAAATCATAGCACGGACACAACACTTCTGAAAGTAATGAACGGTCGATATTCTGTTGAATATCATGATGAACAAGCAGCAGGTTACTATCCTTGTTTTGCTTGATTTCAGTGCTGCTTTCGATACCGTTGATCTCAGCATTCTCCGTGATACAAACCATGCCTTTTTTTCTAGCCGTCTTGGCTATTGTAATAGCCTGTTATATGGCTTACCGGAGTATCAGATTCAGAAGCTGCAAAGAGTCCAGAACTCTGCTGCATATTACACCATTACTAAGAGCCCTACATTAGTAACCCGTAGCAAGTCGAATAGTTTTAAAACTTTATTGTTAATTGTTAAGGCCATTCATAAACTCGCTCCGACTTACATTTCCGGACTTGTATCTCTGAAAGACACTAGTGGTAGGTACTATCACTAGGTAAAATGACGGCAAGTGAACTTCTTAACACTCCATCATGCAAGTCTCTTTCCACGCTTGGTGATCGATCTTTTTATATATGGCGGCCCCTAAATTATGGAACGATCTTCCCCTTTTTATTAGAAATATATCTTAAGTTAATGCTTTTAAGAAGGCTCTTAAAACTCACTTATTTCAGAAGGCGTTTCCCATCTAATTTATTGTTTTTATTCTTTTTATAAGGAAGGATTTGTAAATAGGATTTTAGAGAATGATTAGTCATTTGTTTTTAGAATTTTAGAATTACTATTTTAAACAAATTATTAGGTGCGATCTGAAATAAGACTTAAGGGATTAATTAGTCATTGTTTTTAGAATTTTTTAAATTGGAATATGTACTAGGATTTTAGGATTTTGTTGAGTCAATGTAATGCGCAGATGAAAAATTCTTTCCCTAGATTGATATTTTTGAGCAGTACAAATCAATAAATATTATTGTATTACTAATATTAACATAGTAATAAGCAATAAATGCGGACGGGTGCAATCTCCAAATAACATGATACAAATACTGTAGTATTGGCCTCATTCTGAAGCACTCTTCTTTCGCACTATTTGTAGATATGTGCTCATCTAATGTTCGTTGATTGAGAGAATGATGTTTGTAGATCGTAAAGAAGGATTCGGTCAGTTTTGGCACACTGCGCAGTATGAGAGAAAAACCGTAACTGGTAGTCTCGTGTAAAAAGGACGAATTTTGTACTTTTCTCTGCGATCTTACATTTAAAAAACTTCCGGTTTCTTATCCCAGTAACGAGGAGTAACTTATCTTGCCTATGCTCACACTATACTGGATAGCTTTTAGGCCGACATGCCATGAAAACCTATCCGGTACAATATGACTGGCATTTCGTGCCGGAGCGGTTGGCCGAGAGGGTTTGGTGAAGACAGTTGGTTCCAGTCCTATCCCTCCGCTACGGTCCGAATACGTTCACACTTCGACGGAGTGGCAGAAGCCTGACAGGCATTTTCGATTTCAAGTTCGGGCGCAGCTTCGCCCCGTTACAAAAATCACGCCATTTGAAATCACGGTTCTTATGTGTGAACAAGAGCCTTATCCTGTATGGTTTTCGTGTCGGCGCAACCGGCAAGAGCTATATATAAATTACTATCCGGTATGTACTGTGAACATAGCCTTATGCTGCAATTCAATGCGCGCAATGTCTTTTCATAATTTGTAGTACACTAGCTAAAAATTGTCTTTTATCAGATATCATCGAACGTTGACTTTCAACTTGATTCCCCGAAGGCCTTGGAAACCAACTCAGCGTATGTGACAGCAAGAATCAAACAAAAGTGCATTTTTACTGACAGTTTTGGTTTTGAAACAGTCTTTAAATAAACATCTCAGCTTATCTGGCGGAGTACAATATCGTAACTACAGGTCTCTGCATGTTTGAAAATCCCTGAATACGTGAATCACATCTGAATCAGCATAATTATTTGTAAGTTATACATTGTGCTGCCGGAAGATACTTCCAAATCTACTATCAGAGCAGGAATTACATTGTCGATCCGTAAAAGAGAAAGATACTTGTATTAAAAGCTTCATAGCCCTATGACGTAACACAGGAAATAAATATTTGTTCGCGATCGTGACTGAAATGTCGACACAAATAAAACTCGTACAAGACCCTATAACTCGTTTTTTAGTTTTTGACAAGGAACCAAGCGATAATCCATCGACGCTCCTGGAAAGATCGCCTTAAAATTAGTTACTTACCGAGTTTGAAAGTGATGTGTCACAAACGAGCGAAGTCAAAGCGTCGCGATGAAGTTGCGCAATTTTATAGACGTTCCTAACATGGGGGTCACAAATTTTCCCCCACCACACAAGCGTCTTTAAAAATTCGCGACTTTGCGGAGCCATTTCTTCTTTTGCTGTCATCCCATCATCCACAAACTTAAAAAATTTATTATTTAGGCGCTCTGTCTGGAGGCTGACTACTCCTTGTTAAAAGTTTAAAAACTTGTTAAAATTCTCTTACTGCTCTTCAATTCAAATCGCGCAGAAATTCATATTTTATTTGGCTCAACGGCAGGTGAGGAGATAATCGGTATTTTATCTTCAACATGAATAGAATAATATACACACTCACCCCATTCTTTGACCTTTTTGGCTAGATTAAAGTTCCCTGCAGTTTCCAAATGGGCAGTCAAGTAAGCCATATTTCCTGCCCAAATCTTATTCCGTCTCCATAGCAATTCTAAAAACTCTAGGGAGTTCTTGGTGGATTCAATCTCTCTCTCTGCCAATTCGTCTTTGCACAAAAATTTCAACGTTCCCAATAAATCATCAGTTATTTCATAGGACGTTTGAACGATAAAAGTACGAAAACTTCTATCACTAGAAACTTTAGAAGATGCCATCATTGGTGATCGAATGGATAATTACGCAAGCCGGAAGAACTGATTGAAGTAGATGCAGGAGGAAGTGAATGAAAACGAGGCTGGTTCGAGTTTAGACGCCGTTTGTGTGTGAAAAGAATAAATCATTGATTTGGAAGGGGTTACAGATTGAGAATTCGTGTACCTTATTGCCAACCGTTTTTCGATGGCATGGGAAAATGGAATTCAGTTCCATTTCCACTTTTCTTTTTCGCATGACATTGAAAAACGGATTTGAACTTCGTATTTCGTTTTTCGTTTTCGCACCACTTTAAAAAACGGAAGCGAGTTTCGTTTTAATTTCGTTTTTCATTTTCGCATCACTTTGAAAACGGATTTGAATTTCGTTTTTCGTTCTCGCATTACTTTGAAAAACGGATTTGAATTTCGTTTCTCGTTTTCGCATCACTTTGAAAAACGGATTTGAATTTCGTTTTTCGTTTTTGTATGGCTTGTTATTGAAAAATAGATCTGAATTTCGTTTGTCATTTTTCCATGACTTGAAAAACGGATTACTGCACCGGTCCAGTCATTTGAAGTCCCCGGACATCCCCTCAAGGTTGACCGGGGCATGCACTTTTTATGCAAGTGAATTTTTCTCTCCCCGGGGCCGAGGTGAGTGATGAACTCCTCCCGCCCCCAATGATACGTCTTACCCACACGGTACTCCCTTTTTTAACATTGAAATGGATGACAAATGATATGATGATAGCCGCGATACAGTCTTCTGGAGTTTTTGTAGAATGACTCAATCATTACAAGGTGTCTTTCTTGTCGTCATTTCCAGGATACAACAAATTACTACATCATAAGTTATTGCACAATTGAGCAACTTAAACGGGGAAAAATAAGACGTATCTAGTTAACCTGTCCTATAAGTAGAACAAAACTGAATGTGTTCGCGACTTAAATAAAACGCGGCTCAAATAAGACACTCCTTATATGCCGTTGTATAAATGATACAGTTTGTGTCTTATTTGAGACGTGTTTTATGTAAGCCGCGTCAAAAGACACTTTACAAAGCATACATGTATTTCTTCAGTTGCGAGAAGCGATAAAAATATAATGTATGCGAAATTACTGCGCGGCGCGAAAATGGAAGCGCTTACCACAGGGTGACTGCCCCGCTTATTCCCTAAGTGAAAGGCCCCTCATTACAAGGAACCTCCCAAAAAACTTCGTGCGTGGAAAGAATAGTTCCCGGGAATAGATCTACTGTCTGTATCACAACAGTTGCTTTAGCGCACGACTTTTGGAGGGTGTTTACATGAGAAAACTCCGCACGAGTTTCATACCCGGATGACTTTTTGATTTCGTATCGCGTTTACATGGTGACTTGGTCAATTTGAAGGTACACTTCATGTTGATTAAAATACATGCGTGGTTCAAAATCACAAACAATACTCGCGCGACGTGCGCTATCCGTTCCATATTCCAGTCTACCGGCAGACCGATTTGACACCGAAACGAGTGGTCGTTTCGCGTTTACATGATACCGTTGCGAGATTTCGTACCGGAGTGAAATTCTCGCCCCGGTAACTCGTGCCGGCACGACATTTTGTGGTGGTAGCCTGGGCCAGCCTGGGGAGTGATCTCCGGCTTATGCGAAGGTAGTCTGCTACACAGCCGTTTTTAGTGTCCTCGTTGCGTGACGACACTAAAAACGGCTGTGTAGCAGACTAACGCGAAGGTCGCCGGGTGTCATGTAAACACGCCCTTACATGACCTACAAATTTAACAATGGTGGATAAACTGACCTGATTGAACGCGGGCGTAGTTTGTTGGTCGCCACCATGTTTGTAAGCCAGGGTTTTAAGAAGCTGTGTGGTAAGTATCGTTATTTAACTTTGATTAACAATGCTTGCTGCAAAAATGCACTCTATAATCTAGGAACATTTTTTATAAAGATTTAAGCCCATGCATGGTAACTTGATAAGCATTTGCAATGTGCTTTTTTAAACGAACTGAACTCAGCTGATCTAATATATTTGAATCTTCAACCTTAGTAAATAAGTGCGCGATAAAAAAGCTTTCCGTAAGAATCTTATCTTTTCAAGGAACTAATTTTTGTAGCAAAACTTTCAAATGAAAAAATAAAGAACCCACCGTTTTTCCAGAAAAAATGTAAATAAATTTTGAAAATATGATTCCGGCCATTTGGTTATGTATTGCAATCTGTAAAATAGTTGCAAAATTGTAGACACTGTATTCTGACCACTACGGTGGCCCACAACTGTCACGGCAAAACCAAAAACCTCATGGCAAAAACAAAATACCTCACGGCAAATCCGAAAACCTCACGGCAAAAACAAAAACCTCACGGCAAAACCAAAAATCTCACAGCAAAAACAAAATACCTCACGACAAAACCAAAAACCTCACGGCAAAACCAAATACTTCACAGCAAAAACCAAATACCGGTACCTCACAGCAAAAGCAAATACCCATGGCAAAACAAAGCTATTTTGCTTTTGCTGTGAGGTATTTTGTTTTTGCCGTGAGGTTTTTTGTTTTGCCTTGATGTTTTTGTTTTTGCCATGAAGTTTTTGGTTTTGCCGTGACAGGTATGGGCCACCATAGACCACCACCAGACTTGCCAAGTCTCATGAGTCTCACGATTGTAGGACCTGTCTCACGCTCTCACAAGTTGGCAACTGACTTCTTACATTTTCTCAAAAAAGTCAAACTCCAAAAAATTTTGTAGTTGTAGGGTTCATTTCAAAGTTAGATATCAATAGACAGCCAGCTAAACCCAAAGAAAGTGCTTAGTGGTCATGTTTGATTTTATTCTTTTAGCCAATGGTGACTTGCTGCTGCCACCAAATGTGCAGACTTACCATTTCTCTTGTTTCAAGATGGCTCCAACAAACCAGAGATATTACAAAACCTAAAGAATATAAATTGCAAAATTTATCCTGATGTTTACTGCTCTATCTTTAAAGTGATGTAGTGACTTCCAATACCCATAATCTCCACTGAAAGTCCTTCCACTAGAAAATTTGAAACATCTCACGACTTTTTACCAATTTCTCACTACTTTTCCCAGCTCTAGGTTCAGAATCTCACCTTTTTTGTCTTTTGGGGTTGGCAAGTCTGTGCCATGTAGTCCTTTATAATTTGGTCCTTTTGTCGTTGATATTTTTGAGGGGGGGGGGGATGGTAACGGAAAGACACAGTCTCCAGAATGTTTATCTCCAGAGGTTGGCATCCTTGTATTAGTAATAATATTACAGTTGTTGTCAGAAAATAGTTATTTTAAAAGTGCTTGCTTAGACTTGTTGTAAGACTATTGATCTAGGTTCACGAGCATTTCTTTTGATCTTCTTTTTAGCATCCAGATCTTACCTGCTGCTTTTTCTCAGCTCTCTTTCCAGTTTCCATTACATATTAAAGTGCAATGTAAAAGTTTAGCACATGTAAATCACTGCTTTCACTTTACTGGATGTAGGCTCTCCAGCAAGACCAGTTTTTGGGCTAGCTATTTCTTGTCAGGTGGGTGATAGACAGGCGTGTTATAAGTTTTGAAGCAGTTGTAGCAAATGAAGGTTCACTCATACAAACATAAAAATGTGTCATTTTTAGTTTTCCACTTAAACCATGTACAATACCTAATGAGCTCAGCCGTGACAGGTGTTCCAGGTTGTAGCCCTCTATGACAGGTCTATTAGATACCATCATATTACCATTATCATAACTTTATCACACATCATATTTAACATATTTCATGATGGTATGACTGATAAAATTATTGTTTTAAACAACTGTCTGATCAAATTATCAAATTTTAGAAACGTTAGGTTTGTGGAGAGAGGAAAACCAGTGAACCCAGAGAAAAGTCTCTGTTGAAGAAAGATTCGACCAGGTTGACTTTTTAACTTTAAATGATGATGTGAATCAATGCCTGCTGTGATTGGTCATTACCCATGATCTATTAGAACTTACAGATACATGTACGTGGATGAGGTCATGGAAAACTTGTTTTCTTTGTATTGTTCAACATGGCACGCGGTTTCGAAAATGTTTGTGAGATTTTTTCAGATTAAGCAAGTGAAAGCCTCAAAAAAAGTTGAGCAGGAGCTATTTACAAAGAAAGAAAATGGAAAAACGGAGACAAAAAGAGTTCTTAACAACTTGAGAGTGCCTATACTGCATGCAAGAAAACTTCACAACAGTTGCCATCGTGTGTCATATTCGTTACGAGAGTTTCGCTGTTTTGCAAAACGTTTTCGGCATTTCTGCTTTAAGCCAGTGAAGACGTTGAAAACCTTTTGAAGAAACTGTTTACAAGTAAGATAAGGGAAAAAAGAAGAAGCGGAGACAAAAAGTAGTGTGTGGGACTTAAAAAATACCTAAATAAGCATAAATCTTCAAACAATCAAGCAGTACGAGGCGGGTATGTGTATCTGTCTTATTCTTATTCTTTTCTGATCATTGTATAAAACAAAAAGATTCCATTTTGCCGTGGGTCTGTTCAGTAATAGATCACAGATGACGTCAAAATGTGGTAAAAATATCAGTGACACACTCACCTATGGCTCGTGTGCCACTTCAAATTTTGTTAAACAGAATGGAGCAATAGGATAACCTTCTAAAAATATTGCATCTGTTATGTTAACTAATTTAGTTTTTTCTGTTATCTCAGAGAAATGTCAGCTACTTGCCAAAGGCAGGTCCTGGAGGAAGATCCTCTTTTAGTGGAGTGGTTGCAACTGTATTTGGCAGTACTGGCTTTTTAGGACGATATGTCCTCAATAGACTAGGTAATTTACAGCTGAATGGGGCTACAAACTCGTTTGACTGCTCAAGTGATACTGCCTATTATATACACGTATAAAGTAGTTTTCTATGTTCATTAGCCACTGCTCAGTTATCTCACCAAGGATCAAGGGGGGCAGAGTTTAGATCTTACATGGCCTGAATTGAAGCAGTAGCAGAGGGCACCTGTATGATTTTGGCAATGTCCAGTTTTATCTTTCTTGATCCTGTGTAATTCAGCCATCAGCTGTGAGGGAGAAAATTTGTGCTGTTCATTGTTCTTTGTAAATTCCAGTCTTAAAAGTATGCATGTACAGCTAATGCAAAATGTGTTGACCCACATCACGGTGGAGCTTGATCGGGATGTGTTAACAGTTGAAGGAGTCTTCGTACTCAGTTCCTTTGTATGGTTATTAAGCCTGCTGTCAGTTTCTTGTACACTGCAATCACACGTGCAACATTTAAAGAACCCATCCCTATTTTGCCTATCTAAGTGATCAAGTTTTTGCTTCCTGTGTTAACATCTTTCAGTTGTCTAAAATGGTACACCCTCTTTTCACAGGGCGTGGTGGAAATCAGATCATTGTGCCATATCGTGGAGATGAGTATGACTACAGGCACCTCAGGCTTATGGGGGATCTGGGACAAATAATGTTTTTTGTAAGTCATATGATTAATTCCTATTTAGAATCTTCTGTTTTTATCTTGAAAAAGTGATTTTCTTTATGTAAAGCTTTATTTTGCTCTTTTGAGGTGTGGTGTACTTGAACATTGTTGATAATTTTGTGTTGAGGAATTGGGACTTGCCCTTTGAGAACTTGATCGCTGCCTGGTTAGTTCAGTTGGGAGAGGGCTAATCTACTGAGCGGGAGGTCATGGGTTCAAACCCTGGCCAGAACAACACTCAGAAACTTTAAATAACTGAGGAGAAAGTGCTGCCTTTGCGAAGACAATCTGCAAATGGTTAGACTTTCTAGTCTTCTTGGACAAGGACAAAAACCGTTGGTCTTGTTTTACGGCACTTTCACTTACCTGGTTCTTGTGGGACGTAAAAGAACCCACACCACTGTTCATTAAGAGCAGGGGACGTAGTCTCTGGTGTTGTGGTCAACCTCTCCTGGGCTTGGTGGGTTATCTGTTAGGACTCACTTAAATAAAATTGTATCTCTGCTTTGTTGTGTGTTCCACATCATATGGTGGAAGTGATTAAATAAATAAATAAACTTTTTTTAATGCATTTACCAAGGCTTAAGACATTGCTTTTATTCTTGTCCCTTTCTTTTGTACTTCCAAGATGAAGATTATTGTGTCTAATAATAGGCAAGTTAGTACTCAATACAGCCATGTCTTTAAATTAATTTTCATAGGATTATCACCTCAAGGATGCTGAATCTGTGGCTAAAATGTTGACACATTCTAACTGTGTCATTAACTTGATTGGTAGACAATATGAAACAAGGTATACAGTAATACTAAAATAATTGTGATGTTGATGATGATGATGATGCTCTATTTCTACAAAGAATATCAAAATACCTGTTACATGATTAAAATAAGTGTTGATTGGAATTTATTTCACACCATAAATTTACTAGAGGGTAAAGGATAAATGCTGTACTGAATTTATTCGATTAAACCCCCCCCGACGCTTTTTAAGTTTTTAGTGTTTCCAGTGCGGTGTTTATTCAAGGGCGGCATTTATTCAAGGGTGGCATTAATTTCGAAATCACTTTTTTAAAATCACTGACAACAGTTGTTGTAAATCATTTGTAAATATTATGTAATTTAAAGGTTCCATTGTCTCTCTTATTTTGCTGAGATAGAGTTGTAAATGTCTGGATTGTGTAAATTACCAAGTTATACCGAAGTTTATCTTATTATCGTCGAGTAAACGCTGCATTCTTCCGATTAGTTGCTGCATTTATTCAAGGGGGGAGTTCATTGGTTATTTTGCTTCCATCTGTGGTGTTTGAGTGAGGGTGGCATTTATTCGAGGGCAGCATTAATTGAATATTAATACTGTATCTCTACAGGAACTTTTCTTTTGATGATGTGCACAACACAGGAGCAAGAGTTATAGCTAAAGCTGCAAAAGAAGCTGGAGTCAAACGATTGATCCATGTCTCAGCACTCAATGCCAGTGAAGACAGCCCATCAAAATTTCTACAGTCCAAGGTGAAACTACTTCCTAAACAGTCAAAAAATAGTAGATTGACTCATAATGATTTGAGCACTTAACGTTCAATGACTTCTTTTAAATATTTTACAATTTACATTTTCAGTTAACTCTTTGTTGACCACTTTGGTAGTTTTTGGTCCATGTAGAATGATGCATGTTTTCCTTTCTTGGAAGGAAAATAGCTTAATACCTTAAACTGAAAGCATGAAAGCTTCTAGTTTAAGCTTTTAACTCGTTAAGCGGCAATGTCAGTGAAGAAACAATGTAGATCTTTCCACTGATTCCTCATTGTGGAAATTGTGACCAATCTTGACAGAGTTACTCAAAAATACCAAGTAGCATCTTGAGGAAAAATCGACTGGCTGATTTCTCTATTTACATACTACTCTTTGTAGATTGAATTTGTCCCTTCCCTATATTTCTAAAACATTTGCCAGCCACAAGTCCATGCAAAAAAGGCAATAAAGTGGGCAACAAAACCTCATAAAAGCAAAGGGTAAAAAGAGAGTGAGAAAGAAAGATCGAAATTATTATAGATTCACAAAAAAAAAGGAAAAACAAAACAAGACAATACAAATTTTGGCTTCATATGTGCATGTGCCACAAGCAAAAAAGCTGTTTAATTACAAATTTGCCCTTATTGTTGCAAAACTCATTTTTTGCCATTTCCCAAGAAAATTTGCCAAAAGCCAGTCCAAATAAGAGTGAATGTTGAAAAAAATGTGTTTTTTTGCTACATCTCGCTGGCCATGGCCAAAGGATTAAACCACTGTATAATTATGCTAAAATGTTTCTGTATTGATTTTATTTTTCAGAATTTTGTCTTTTTTAACACTGTCGTTATGTTTCTGGAATTTGGTAGTAAAAATATTGATTTGTTTCTTCTGTGATTCTTGACCAATACTTGTGGGAAGTTATTGGCAGTTTACTCTCCTAGCTAAGTAACAACCTCTAAATTGGTACAGTAATGAAAACCTATGGACAGTTCTCTTGATCCAGAAGATATCAAACTTCAACCAGTTGCAAAAGTACTTGAGACACTGTACCGTATTTTGGCATAAATGGCCTGTCCATGATCTTGTGCTTGTGATCCCCCCTCCACCCCTTATCAAAGTTGCTAGCAATACAAGACCATACTCAAAACTTGGAGGAACAACTTTGAATGGGAGGGAGGAAGGGAGGTCAGTATTATATTTTACAGACCTGTGACCAGGAGCGATTTGAAGCAAGAAAGGTCGTTTTTCCGTGGGAGTGTCTCATCATTTTTGCAACTGGTTGTTCTTACAATCTCTACCTCCATAATACAGATGCCTCTGTAATGTAGACACTTGGTTAATAATGTCCCTGTGTTGTCTGTAAATCAAAGAGGTGTGACTGTACAATGTGTTTACTCTGTTTTGTTCTTGTGTCAGGCTCGTGGAGAGGCCGCCGTACGAGAGGAGTTTCCAGATGCTACCATACTGCGACCAGCTACATGTTTTGGTCATGAGGATCACTTCTTAAACTACTATGCATGTAAGCTGCGCATAAAGCTGAATATACCTTTTCTTTACCTTTTAAAAAGTAACAACTTGCTTAAAAGTTAATTTACCTTCTACAGGGACAGGGTAGAGGGTAAAATTAATTAATGTAGGGTGTTTTGTGATGTTTTGGAAATTGTTGTTAAGCTTTTATCCTCAACACCAAGGAAATGCCCTAAGAAACCGAATTTGTATAGAGACAAAAAAGGTATTTCTGTGGTTTTAAATTAAGCAATGACAATGCACATTGCACAATGCACAATGGTACATTTTTTTGCCATCACTGCACTACTACTAATAATATATGAATTTCCCGCAGGAAATTTTATGGAATACATGTTACAGTGTGACTTCTGGAACGGGGGTACTTGGAAGAAGATTATCCAACCACAACACTTTAGGATTATAATAATAATAATTATAAAGTAATAATAAAGTCTTTATTCACCAAAAGATAAAAATACATATCTTTTGTTACAAGTAAGTGTAAGAAAACAAAATATTCTCAAGTTTGTTTTTGCAAACGGACCAATAAAGTTCAAGGTTCAACTATGCAACTCTTGAACTGCTGGAAACTTTAAAACTGTTTAAACTTATGTGACCTCTCAGGAAACAACCCTCAAATTTAATAATGTTATTGGTGTGTTTGCAAAAAACTTGAGAATCTTTTGTTTTCAAGAAATGTTGTGATTGCATAATTTTTTCCAAGTTCCCCCCTTCGAGTCATTGCAAGTTGTAAACACTTTATGACAATCTCATTGCCTATGCCACCATTGTTGCTTATAATATAAAGCCCACTGTCAAATATCTGAAACTCTGGTTAATCAGTGTAATTCAAAATAATAGTGGCATCTGGAGAATCTTTTTCGTGGAAACAGACTGTTTTCCTTATTAATTTTTTTATTCAGATCTCAGAAAACTTCCACTTGGTATTCCTCTGATTGATGGTGGACTGAAAACAACTAAAGTTCCTGTCTATGTAAGAACTACTTTGATTTAATACTCAATTGTATTTTTGATAAAAGACTGTTTGTTTTAAATGTTAACAAGGCCACTGCTTCAGAGTGGATGTGTCTTACTTGCTTATCAACCATTCTGTTCTGTGTTTTGAAAGTTTTATTATCAATGTCTTTTCTAATCTGACAAAAACCAGATGCTAACTCTGTGCTTCCTTGAATTGTCTGTTTAGTTATGGTGTGTTTTTTTACTTACTTCATTTTCCAGATTGCTGATGTAGCCCAGGCAATAGTTAATGCCATTCATGAAGATGACAGCATTGGACAGACATTTGAACTTGTTGGGTAATTTCATTGTTGCTAATATTACTGTTACTACCAATATTATTTGTGAATACCTAAGTATTGCAACAACTGTCATTGTGTACTTCCTGAATGGGTCGATAAATTATCTTCCCTTTAGCTTTCCTTGTAAGGTAAAAATAAAAAGACGATTGTATACTTGTCTACAAGGATGTTGTTATGCTGTAAATGCGACTGTTTGGTTTTGATGATTTCATTCTAGTAAATCCATACTGTAGATTTTTGCCTGTGGTACTTTTCCAGAAAAGGTTTAATTCCCTCCTCCCTGTACATGTCCAACTAAAATACTTCAAGATGTTGCCAACTGCAAGCAAAAGGAATGGGATTCAAATACATACAAGCAAAACTGTTGTAGCAATCACAACTAGAGCTGGTCACTACCATCTAAGATATAGTTCAACAACAGATTACACACTGAATAAAGTCTAAGTCGCTGCAGCTGTAAACCCAGCATTTAAATATAAACTCTGATAAGATTGGAGCCCATGATGGGATGGCAGAGCAAGTAGTGGGCATAGTGGTTTGTGTCTGTGTGTGTGGTTTTTTTTTTTGGGGAGGTGGGGGCTTTTTTTCACACTGCACACTTTTATGAGAAATATTATGCATTTTTCTTTGTTTTTGGCAAACAGAGGTAACGTTATTTATAACCTGTCATGCTATCCCCATCTTGGCTTTGTTAACTCCTAAGTAAACACACCTTGCACAGTTATTACTCTCCATAATCAATTTCAGCCCAGAAGAGTATTATTTGTTTGATATTTTGGATTACATCTACCGTTTGATGAGGAGAGAATTGCCACACTACACTATGCCAAGAAATATTTACAAGTAAGAGGCAGTTATTTTTTCATTGACTGTGTATGTACTAAGGAGCAAACAAAAAAATAATCCCTACTTTAATCCATACTCGTCTCTTCATGATAGAACCTATTTCCAAGGGTAAAAGGCAATTGTAGATAATTTAGTACACTGTAGATATCTGGAGTTACAAGTTATGCAGGGTCTTTAAAGTCCTGGAATATTTTTCTGGCATTTGGCTTGCAAGTTCTAGAAAATATTATTAGTTGTTTCAGATTCTGAAAATAAAGTTTTGGTTAAAAGAAACTCCACAAATTTTTTTGCAGTTTTAAGTCTGTGAAGTTATTGCTTGTTAAAATAAAGTTGAGTACAAACCCTAGAGTAGGGTGTTTGAATAATATTTGCTTCCAGCAAATTAATGCTTTTATAACTGTCTTGAAATTTTTTCTTTTATTTAATAAGAATGGAATTTTGCATTTATAGCTACCGTGTAAAAATTATTTAAAATAGAATGATTGAGTCATGAATGTATTGTTTTATTTGAAAACCTACACCTCACCCCCAAAAAGGGTTACAAACCTTTGATTAAGTGACTATATATTTTGTTTTGCAGTTTGATTGCCTGGGTTTTGGAGTATAACATCTGGAGTCCTCGCCTGACAAGAGACATGCTGTACAGGGTAAGAACTTATAGTATAATAATCAGCCAGGAAACAGTTAAGGTTTGCTATCTTTGGAGCCAGCCAACTGTGAAAAATTGGCATTGTCTTTTAGCAGCATCACTCTTAAAGAGGATCCACCCTAAAAGCAGAGACATACATCAGTAAATTAATTAATTTTAAGGAAAATGGAATTGATATCCCCTTTCCTAGTCAATGCTGCCTATAATATTTATATACTAGCTTGTGGAAAAAGTTATTGAGCCCCCAGCCTCCTTTGAAAGCTGTCTTCCTTGAGTAAGTTTACATTGTGCAAGTTGACATATCTCCTTGATGACAAGTTTGTTTCCTTGGTAGGAATTCATGTCTGATAAGGTTACACCAGGATTACCTGGTTTGGAAGATCTTGGTGTAGAACCTTCCACCCTGGAGACTATAGCTATATCAGTTCTGCGTCGACACAGACAGTCTTTCTTCTGGGATGAGTCAATTGACAGTGATGCTCCATGTAGACCTGCAAGCTCTTATGCCTCCCACTAAAAGATAAACTTCCTTTGTGAGAGAAAATTAACATTAACTAATGTATATAATAACTTGTGAGTTTGCACCTCCTGAATGACTGTATGGGTGATTTTGCAATGCCATGGAGTTTGTTAAGGATTGAGCATTCTGTGACGCAAAGTTTAGTTATCTGTTCATTTAAGAATGTTTTGTGTACTCAAGAAGTAATGCTGTAAAATTAGGCTCTGAGTAGGTGACACATAACAGTGTATCTAATATCTTAACTATTGTGAAATAAAAATAAAGATCTTATTTTTCATGATACAGTCAATCATCTGCTTACAGAAGTAAATATTATTAGCTTACAGTAATACAGACATCTCCAACATTGTCTTGTCTTGATCTGTATACCTCAAGAAATAAGCATCCATTGTCTGCATTAATGGTTGTTTGTATTTAGCGTGTTGAATTTAGGGAAAGTGTAAGGGCTTTTCCCAGGGATGAAGAAAACTGTCCATAATAATGAGCAGGCTTGTCAGAAAGTTTTGAAGTAGACAGCTCAGTTGTCAAAGTAACCGGCCAGTCCAGGGATATTTCATTTAAAAAACGCCATCCGTAAAGAAATGCCAAGAGGAGTAGCTAGCTGATACTAGCCAAGTAGGCAGTGATTTTCGCTGGCAGCCGGACACTTTTGACAACCCTGAACAAGGTGTCTGTATTTCTAAGTGGCTGTCCATATAGTGGGGTTTGCCTGTATTTGAGAACTTATTGCAATTAACATGTTGACTGCAAAGCACATTTTTCTTTCTATCATTTTTTTCTGTGGTGCAATGCAACAACTGCACTCAGGAAAGCAGAGCCTACCTGTGAGAATATACATTTTCCTTGGTTGACTTTTGACCATCCCCACAAATCATTAATTTGCGACTTGCGGAGATGGCAGAAATCCAGGCTAGGTTAAACCTGGAAATTATACATGCCATCCTACTAAGAACCAAGGTTCTGCAAGTTCTTCAATAATGTGTTTGATTCCTATTTTCTCAGGTGAGTGTGGTCCCTACCTAATGTGTAAGAAACTTCTAGTATTAATGTCTAAAAAGCACGCCCTGGTCTACACTCCCTGATGTTTCTGGGGAGCGGGAGGGAGGGTTCTTTATGAGCAACAAAATGATTTTCGTGTATTTTTTGGTCCACCAGGTTCTTGTAATGTAGAAATAAATTTTTTTTGTCAACCTGAAGGTCAAAAACCAGGTTCTTAAAGCTGAGTTTTGCTTATAACTGAATTTCAGGAAACTAGAAAACACGTTGCCTTTTATTGTCACTAACACATGTAAGGCTCCTTTATCACCAGGTTTGGTAGTAGGACTAAATAGTCGCACCTCACTAACTTGAACTAAAGAAAAGTAACAGGAACTGGGTTGATGTATATGTTAAAGAAATCTTGTGACCAGTAAGTTTTTGTAGTAATATCCTCTGTTGAAAAATAAGAAATGAAAAGTTATAAGTCACTTTATAAAACAATAGCTTTTATGTACTTGAATAACAGTGCTATGAAAAAGATTTTCAGCACATCAGAAAGTTCCAGAAACTTACACTCTCAAACCAAAAGCAGTTTTTTTTTCCTTTTTGTCCTGTCTTCTCTCCCCAAGGCTGTGCTCTAAGGAAAATTGGAGGGAGCCCAGTGCTCTGAAACTGTAAAATCCAGGGTGCCCAGCATATGATTTGTATGAAAAATCTGAGATTTCCTAGTCGCCCGAGGGCAAAAGTTAGGCGCCAGGGGCCACCGGGCTCTGCTAGAGCACAGCCCTGCTCCCTCACAATGTTTTTTATTGCAGTTAACTTTAGTTACCAAATCTTGCACACCAACAATGAGGAGTGAGAAGACAGTCAAGTGTCCCAAAAATTTTGACTGAGAATGTGGTTTCAATGAAAACTGGGCCAAAAACAACCAAAAGGAAAGTACAAAAATTAGAATAACAGAATTTTATTTTTTCCTGTAAACATGCTGTTTAAGTCAACAGGATTTTACTATAGAAAATTCACCACAAGTTAGTCCTGATAATTTACTGGCAGTGTCAGGACTGTGGTATTTTAGTGAACATTTTTGACTGCAATGATCCAGTTCAAAGTTTACTTAGTTTGGGTTAATTTTGGCAGAGGAATGCCAGGAATGTCTTGAAACATTCATCATTAAATCCAGCAACTTCATCAGTCCTCCCAAGACTCTCATATAAAACAGACCACAATCGAGCAGCTGTTTTCTCCTGCTTAGTAAAAAGCGTCATGCTTGGAGAAGACCACGCACAGTTTTTGATTCCAGTATCCTCTTGAAAGGAGAGTGTGTTCAATTGATAGCACATGAATGTGAACTGAATGCCATCAGTAATGGCACACTTTGTGACTAGTGGTTTCTCCAGGTGTTGACCCATCCGGACGCCATCATTCATCGCCAAGGAAACCAGTGAGCTGAACATACTCATTATTCCGAAAGCTTGTTGCTGTTCATATGTCAAGTTAAAAGTGTTTGTCAAAAACAACATGTGATTGTAAGGGTACTTGTTCAAGGCAGTGTTCTGGAACCCTGGGTTGTTCTGTAGATGAACAATGGGATGACGGTACACACCAAGACTATAGTTATCAAAGGGTCCAGGCAGGTCCTCCAGAGATGTTCTTTCAATATCTGTTAGTAAAGAGATAATAAAACAAAACTTGATATCAAACCTTGTCAAGCAAGTAAGTTGGATAAGAAATAATTTAAAGAAGAATTCTCTTACATCAATGCAACTCAGGGAGAAAAAGAAATGCCACAGCCATCAATAAGGAGCCTACAGTGTGGCAGACCATGTACTAAATCTGAAGTCAGTTGTACGGCTTGTTCATAGTAAGTCTCCTATAGATGAGTGATTGGAGGATTGGCATATCACTTAGGAAGTCACAGGTTCAATATGTTTTAGGGCACTGTAAGAATTCTTTTTTCGCAGTAGGCAATTACATATTAAATTTTTGCTTGTTTCCTTCTATCAGTCAGTGGGGATGAGTGTTTTATCCCACAATTGCTTTTCCTTTTGCTCCTCCTGACCTCCTGATAACTGACTTAAAGAGAAGATCACAAGTGACTGGCAGATGCTGGGAAGGGGCATCGCTATGCTTGGATTGACTGGGCTTACAGTTAACTTCCATTGAATTTTCACACTAGCTAAAATGTTTCATAAGTTTCAACCCTACCCCAAGACTTTGGGGGGAAAGAAAACTTATCACCATTTAAGGAGGGATTTACAGTTGTCTCAAAAACGTCCTGTTTGCTAACGTCTTTGGTCATTTTGCTAACATGCTAGGTCAGTTCTCTAAACGTTTTCTCCTGATCAATGGTTTAGAGAAAGAGCTATGCAAATGTGTATCAGACTTTTTCTTATCACGGCTAAAAGAACAAGGATCATGTGTAGAGTTCATTTCATTTAGCTGTGCAGCTAATGGTAATGTCCTGGGATTAGCTGGATTGGGGGTGGAGGGGGGCTGTGCCTCTGGCTTTGGTGAGCCAGAGGCACAGCTCGAATTGACTGATGCATGGGTGCATGATGCATGGTAATGGGTCGTTGGCAAAATCATGCATAGGCAAAACAACCGGTGATTTCCAGGGAGGAAAAACAAGTGTAGTTAGAAAACGGATGAGCCTTACAGTGTTGGAGAAGGGTTTAAGAGGGTAAGGCAGGAAAGCAATAATAGTGATACTTAAAGAAGTACAATAAACTATCATACCTGGTTCAAATAAAGCTGCCGGTTCCTTTGCTCGGATTATATAAGCTGGTTTTGGTCTTTTATGCTCCAACTGGTAAAAGTTATGATGCCTGACCCAGTGAATCTTTATTTTGGGTTCAAAGTCGAGGAAACAGTCATTCAAGTGAGGGTAACGATCAGCAAATGACCAGCCAAATCTCAACAAATCTTGCAAAACACCAAGTTTAAGAAGCTCCTGACTACGTTCGTTTTTGCGATCATTAGTAGCTTCTTTGCGGAATCCATAATTCTGCAATACTGAATTCCTGAATGGCTCTTTTACGACTTCATATTCTTCAACCGAGAAGTACCTGTCTACATCTGAGAGGGAAGAAGGCAGACCCTCATATAATTTTGTTTTCGTAAACCATTGGTACTTCAAACTTGCGTTGACTTCTTTAGTTGAAGGATGCACTATGAACGCTCTTCTTATCACGTGTGGAGCTATGATCAACGGAATTCCTGTCTGATAACCTTCTTTTTCTTCTTGCACAGCAACTGCGCAAAATTTTCGCCGAATAAGACGAGTTGTATGGCGGATAAAGAGCAGTTTGCTTGCCATACGCTTTTCTAACAAATTGGCGGCCATTTTGGAAAAATGCTTAGCTGATCTGAGCCAGCGATAGCCAGCGATACCCGCCCAGTAAGTACTTCATAGATGGTATTTCTAATGTACCGAAATTGTGTCGGCTTGAGTGACTGTTGCCATATATGAAGTACCTAACAGGTAACAAAGATGGCGGACCAATCGACGATTTGTTTGGCGAGAAGTGTTGAAGTGGCAAGAAGAGAACTAAATAATCTACGGCGTGATTTGAATTCCATGAAAAAGATGTTTATTCAAAAGTTTAAGGAAGTTAAAGAATTGATCGAAAAAGGTGAGACTAAAACTTTGCATAGGCATTGTCTTTAATATCCCTTGAGACGGACCTTTTGTGACTCCCTACCTTACAATATAGAAGATTAGCCCATGCTCGATATATTAAAACTCTAACGTATCTCCGAGGCTTTAGGGATAAAATTGCGATTTTTTAAAACTTCATTGTCTCGCAAATCCCCGAAGAGACTTGAGCGCAAAGAAAATCAAATATAGAAAAATGACCAGAAAGCCTCGGAGTCATGTTAGAATTTTAGAAGCAACTACAGAACATAGCCATGTTTTAAGGGCTTAAACAAAAGTGGCTCAGTGGCTCTCTAGTCATGACAAGTGTTTAAAGAACAAGAAAGATATAAGACATATAAGACATAAAAGTATAAAATTTAAAGAGAAAGTAAAGGTATGTGTTTTTGTGGCTCAACAACAGCAACAACAACAATAACTTTATTTATCCATGGTTAAGAAATCATCAGGCCAAGTGAACTACTAAATAATTGTAACCTACTTAACTAATTAAAACTTTAACTAATTAACTGTAAGAAATTGTGTCTGCTTTACATGATTGCCGTGATTATCAACATATTTCATTGGCTTGATGGCTCGTCAGTCGAGGTTAGTGTCTTAAAGAATGAGAAAGGTATGTATAATGGTGGCTTGGTGGTTCTTCAGTCAAGGTTTCATAGTTTAGTGGCTCAATGACTTGGTTGCTCGTCAGTCGGGACAACCGAGCCGCCCACGACGCCTAGAAGATTTGCCTTGTATTCTAATTCTGTGGTTAAGCCAAATTTTACCATATGGAATGTGGGCTAATGAACAAATTGAAGGTGTCATACAGCTGAAAAACTACCTCGTGAGTAGTGTTTTCTGCAGGCCAGACACTATGCTATGAAGAGAGAGAAACCACTGTGAGAGACCGTTTGCTTTTCCATTGATCATGAGTATGTGCACCCATGTGACACTTATGGCAAAATGTCAAATGACATCACTTTCTCTTATTTTACAAGAAACATATGACTCAACGGCAACAAGAATGTAAAAAAAAAGGTTTAATAAGCGAAACAACAACTTTGCAAGTGCATCACACTTTTTTGTACATTTCTTTGCCGTTTTTGCACCACTATAGCATAGTAATGCCCAATTTCATGTTTTATAGAGAATGTAAGCAAACAACAACGAAATTTTATTTCTCTCTCAAGTTTGGTTCACTACATTTGACAAAGGCAGTGGGTAGAAATAATCGCGATAAAAACTGAAAGAACTTAAATTTACAGCAGGCTCACGTTAAGAAGATGCATTTCTGGACATAAGTGGAGACATGTTAAGGCAGCAGTTATAATCATAGGCAAATGGGTGAGAGCCCTGACTTGTTTTTAAACAGGTTTTACCTGTTCGAAGTTGTGAAGTCGCGAATCGAGCTCAAATAAACGGTTACATTATACGCCCTTAGTTCCGTTAATAGTCCTCCTACTAGTCTGTTGTACACTGTCCTGTATGCAAATCAAGTACCTTTTTGCTTCGAATGTTAACGCTCATTCCGCATCTAATTATCGTACACTAAGTCCCTTGAGACCCGACACTACATCTCCCCCTTTTTTTCTAGTGTGGCTCAAAGTCTCTGTAAGTAGTGTTCCAAGTAGACGTTCTTGCACGCGCTGATCTTCTTGGCCCGCTTACTGCAGTATCGTCTGGCTGCTGTTGATGTCCCCCCGTTTCCGTCGCTCCTAGGGATGTCGGTGGACCATCTGGCTTGTTAAGTAGACCGCCAATTGTCATCTCACTGGATGCGCCGAGGTTGTCGGGTTGCAAACGCAAATCTTCCCTGGCTCCTGTTTCAGTTTCTTCCACACTGGATGTATCCAGACCTTCTTGGTCCAAATCCACAGCTACGTACTCATCCTCCCTCGCGTGCTTCAGCAACTTACAATGGGATGAATTCCGGATTTAATCTCCCTACCCCTTTTCACGGTGATCATACTTCCTTTCACGCCTATTACTGAGAAGGGACGGGGGTCAAATGCTGGGGTGAGAACTTCTGCTTTGCTCTGCTTCAAAAGAACTTGGTCTCCAACCACTACAAGGCTTTCCCGGGCGTTCGGCCTCTTGTCCGCGTACTCTTTCATCTGCTTCTTTTTAGCCGCGTCTCTTTGTCTGATGGGGTCGTATGGAATTTCTCCTACGGGTATGATCCTTTCCGGTAGCTTCCTCCGTAGCTCTCAGCCGAACATGAGCATGTCAGGGCTTTCCTTTGTCGCTGGGTGGGGCATGGCGCGATAACTGCCAACCGTTCTTTGCACTCCCACCCGAATAGCTTTTCCTTCAAGTTTAGAAATTCTCGCACTCTTCTTGAGGGTTTGCATGAAACGCTCCACGTCACCATTAGCTTCAGCCCACCCAGGAGTGACCTTTCGGTGTCTGAACCCTTGTTCCTGAGCAAAGTTCGCAAACTTTGAACCATTAAACGGGGGCCCATTATCCGATTTGATCTCTTCGGGGATTCCGTACGTGTTGAACACGCGCGTAAATGGGGGGATAACGTAAACTCAACGGCTGGATACCTGGCATACTGGTCCCAAAAGACCAACGCCATGTCTTTGTTTCGTACACATGGGCACGGAGTAACTGCTTTGTACGAACAATCCCTTGGTGGCCTTCGTGAGCAATCTTAACCATGGCTTCCCTGAGTGCCTGAGGCACTACAATGCGTTCACCGCGGAGAACGAGCCCATCAACTACGGCCAGTTCTTTGAAAACGTTAGAGTACTTCCTCAAGTCTGCGTCTTTATGGACTATACTCTTCTCTTCGACACACTTAATCAGTTTCTGTAATTGCTTGTCATTTCCCATTGTCCGAGCGTATATAACTTCTCCTCTGGATTGGTGTCAGTTTCATGGCTTTGTCGGTCTATTTCAATTCTTTCCGCTTGCTTATCCGACATTTCCTGGGCTCTTGCGAAATCCAGGGCTTCCGTTATGGTATGAGGTTTGCTAAGCAACCGTGGTCTGATCCGCCTCGATTTTCCTTTCTCTGTTAACTGCAGTTGAATTTCAACATCATGCCAATCCGTCGGAAAATCGCATGGACCCGCTGCTAGTTTCAAACGAGTAGCGAAGTCATCGTATGACTCCTCTTTCTCTTGAGCTAGCTGCCGAAACTGGCATATGTTGAATAGGTGATGTTTTCTGGATTCAAAATATTCCATGAGTTTCTCAGCGGCGGTTTCGAAATCCTCACCGGTGTCTTCTAGGGTGTCAAAAATATCTTGTATTTTTGTCCTGCACAATGTAAAAATAAAGCTCTTTTCCTTGCTTTATCCTTTATGGTCATTCCACGTATTTTCTGAAGCGCGAACCCACCGAAGTTGGATCCATGTCCGTAATTCAGGTTTGTATCGAAACCAGCCATTTTCCAAGAAATAGAGGAACTCCTCGTCGCCAATGTGAAGTCGCGAATCGAGCTCAAATAAACGGTTACATTATACGCTCTTAGTTCCATTAATAGTCCTCCTACTAGTCTGTTGTACACTGTCCTGTATGCAAATCAAGTACCTTTTTGCTTCAAATGTTAACGCTCATTCCGCATCTAATTATCGTACATTAAGTCCCTTGAGACCCGACACTACAGAAGTTAATTTTTTTTGTCCGATGTTTAGCGCCTTTTTGGAATATTTTAGGGTAAACTGAATTGAATTTTTGTTATTAGTCATACGTTAAGTTTTATATTCACGATACTTACCAGCTTCACACGCACATTTTGGACTGACGGATGTGGTCTTTCAGGGGGGCAAAAAAGTGGTAAAATTTGCCAACATGGAAAATCACGGTTGAGTTTGTTTACTCCCTCTAAACGATTCAACAATTTTAGCCATGTGCAAAATGCACAGTTTGAGTTTGGAAAAAGTTTTATGTTAAATATTTGCTTGCTGTGAGGACATCTACTCACCTACAGTCCTTACTGTATCCAAAAAAGTAACAATGAACACTCCTATCCAGAATTTGTCATTAATGTCTTTAAGATACCGGTAAATAGTTGTTCATTTTCTGTTGTCTAGAATAAACAAACTTGACTGTGATTTCTTGTATTGGCAGATTTTATAACTTGTTTGCCCCCTGAGAAACCATGTGACATTGCTTTTATCCCATCAGTCCTTGAGAGCAAGCAAAGATGGCAGGTGTTGTGAATAAGGTCTACTGTCCTGGATGCGTGGGATCAATGTCGATAGTCTGCAGGCATGATATGAGACTCAGGTATAATGCATGAGAGTTGGCAGGTATCTGGACATTCTCATGCTGACCTTCTGACTCCAGTCAGTGTTAGGTCGGCAGTCTGTTGTTGCTCCAACCAATTACTGTTTGGGTAAAAGTGGGGTGGGGCTTTCAAGTGAGTTCTTGGTATCATGGGATGAGGTTAATGTACACAACATTATATAACTCCCTATGACAGTTTATCAAGAGAGCCAACAGCTTTTTGTAAGATTTTTTGCCTACTGTAAAATTTTTGATAAACATATTTAATAATGAAACACAAGATTATCATGAATATAATACCCTCGTTCATGGCTAATGATAAAGTGTGCGACATTATCACTAATACAAGTCCACCATTCCAATTCATTAGTTCAATGTGGCTGTCAAAGTCGTTGTTAGTACAGTAGCCTTGGTAAAGTTTCATGGCCCATATGGGCGCATGACCTGTAAGGAAGCCTTGCTTAGGGAAGATGGGGAGTGATGGTACGTAGACTTTCTACGTTACTCTGGCAGAACTCTCATTTCAAACAGATGGGGTTGCTCACTGGAATTTCAGAATAAAAAAATGGAGCATTTATATACCTGGAGGTTCTCCAAAGTTGACCACATTTTCCAAATCCAGCCTACCCCTACCAAGGGAGAGTAGTAGGACAGAGAGGGAATCTTACGGCGTTGCCCTGGATATGTCAATTTTTTGACCCAGGTGGCTTGATTAATTTTCCTTTTTTATCAATATGGTGAGACTGTGAGGTGATCATCTTTTTTTAACCCATGGATTACACGTAGCGTAAGGAACAAGTTATTGTGGGCACCGCGATATGCAAATGTATCACTCGGGTGTAGACACCGTTCATAATTAGTCAGCTCTGCACAAAAATGCCCGATATCAAAATGACAACTGTCGTAGATCGATCATTCCCATACTGCGATCAAGAAGTGCATTGTGCCTAGAGCTTTTGATGTTATGATTTTGTAACTTCCATGGGGCGATAATTTGTCTTCCTGTGGACTTTGAATGTTTTAAATTAGCACTATAGCCAACTTTGAGACAGACGTTTATGAACTTTTGAAGCTTTTTGACTTGTCAGGGAATAAACATGACAAAAAGATCAGCAATTGCTCTTCAGTTCCCAAGTTGGTCCAAGCTCACGTTTCTTCCATGAGTCTCACGATTTTTTAACTTTTCTCCCGACAAGACTCCCAGTCTCATGGTTTTTAGTGAAATATCATTCTGAAATGAAATGTTTCTTTGTTCAATAAAAATGGGAATGTTTACTGTTGCTGAATCGTAATTGATTCTCCTCATTTAAACGAATACCAAGTGATACAATGCCGTCAGCAAGAGACTTCACGGCGGTTTTGCATGACACTTGTCGGCCATATGCTCTTCAAATGCGACGAAATGAGTTAAAGCACGGCTTTTACTGTCAAAACCCTGCTTGTTTTGGTAGAATATATCTTTCAATTCTTCGTACTAAATAAAGCTCTACTAGCTTAAAACAGCATCCACCGGCAGAATTTCATGGGCAAAAAATGTGAGATATCATTAATTTGACGCAAATGAGTATAGTTTGTTCTCATGGCGCAATAGATATCATGTTGCTCTCCAGCGCTAGAGGTCTGGGGTTCGACTCCCGACCAAGGAAACTCTTTCTTTTTTCTTCGTTGTTTTGTTGTTTTTGTTTCTCTTTTTTAAAAACTTATTTTCATTTTTTGGCGGACTTGAATTACAAGTTAATTATGAGCTTTTCATTTCTAAAATAATTAATAATAATTATTTATTAATCCACAAGTTACCCATAGGCACCCTTTAATTGGTCTTGTTTTTCAGGTAACAGGAATGGCTTTCCTGGGTGGGGAAATTGGGGTAAACACCATATTTTGTTTTGAAAAAATGATCTAAAAGGAGTCAAAGTTGTTTTACATTTAGGCAGTTACACCACTCAGGCCTTGAAATTGTGGCCGGTCAACAGACAATGTTGGGGTTGAAACTAGCCCTTGTCTCATCAAATCTTTAGATGACTGGATCTTTGTTCCAGTTGTTTATCCTTCTAATGGAAAATTCAATCATTTATTCAGGAGGGACCTGCTGTAGAAATGAAGCTTGCAAGAACCCCCAAATATGGCATAATCAAGAACAAAGAGTATTTCATTCAGATATGAAACCAATCGGCTTTGTTGAATCATGCTTCAATGAGAAAAATGGGATTCCCAGACAACCAAGTGTGTGCCCATCAGCGAAGGCAAAGTTGTGTGTGACTGTGGAAGGATTTACTAACCCTGAACACTCTTTAGAAGGATTGGAGAAGTTTTCACATGTGTGGTGAGTTTATAACGCACGGTTCAATAGGGGCACCTAACGACTTTTTTCTGCAAAATAATTGTTTGCAGGAGCAAGTAGAAATTTGCCTAGAAATTTGTAAAGACCTACATGTAGAAAGGCTAAATATTTCTGGACAACCATTCCATTTGTCTAAGATATTTCGAGGTTTTCTACTAATTCAACTATGTTTTTTTGCGATTGTGTTTTTCATTTAATTATATTACCAACTGAGATATTGCGATTATTATTTACAGAAAAAAAGGTTCTGAATTTTTAGAGTACATTACTTGTTTCAGTCCCCCAGAATCTTCTAATGAAAGTATGGCTGCTCCATGTCCCTGAACTTTCGACAAGATTCAGATGGGTGGTGGACAGAACACTGACCCCCAGTCCGTGGACTACCTCCACTGACTACTTATGTATGGACTAACCTAAACTGGACTACGGTGCTGAAGTTTAGTGATTACAGTTAGGATACTGAGTGAATCAGGTTCCATTTAGGGTCATCATACTGGGAAAACTGGCCTGAAATGTGATTCACTCGGTTTCCTAACCCTAATCACAAAACTTCATGGTGCAATCCATTTTAGGGTAGTCCATAGGGGTGCTCATGCAGTCCATGCACTCGGGGTCTGTGTTTTGCCCACCACTGATTCGGATGAGAAACAAGAAAGCTAATTAAAACTTTGGTGAGCATCAAAGTTCCCTTAACACATCCGAACAGATAAGTAGTTTTTAGGACAGCTTCAAATGAACCAAAAAGGCTTCTTAAGCATTGAGAGAACCATTTGAGACACTTCTGTTGTATTAGGAAACATTCGCCCCTTGGGTGCCCCTGATAAAAATGTGTTTACTTTTCTCTGTTCCTGCTTATTATCATGTACATCAACTCTTTCCTTCCTTGTTATGGGGCAGCAGAAGACTCTTGACTGGAAATGCAGGAAATTAGGGCACCGTTTTGGGTGGTTTGTTTCCTTACACCTTTTCTGTCACTGCAATAAATGTGCAGCGGTTTGCTTGTAATCCAAACGTTGTAACATGATTTGTTTCGTACACTTTAGGGTCATCTTTTTGTTTCACAAGAACACCAACAAAGCCATCAAAGCAAAAGTCAAACCACCTCGTTTAGATGGTGGAAAGGTAGGGGTGTTTGCATCTCGCAGTCCGCACAGGCCCAACCCTATTGGACTAACATTGGCAAAGCTCGATGGCATCATTGGCAACACGTTGTTATTGTCTGCTGTAGATCTACTACATGGAACTCCGGTACTCGATATCAAACCTTATGTCCCAGAATACGATCAGCCATTAGCTGTCGACAGCAAGGGGAAAGTGGAATCTGAAAGCAGTGACGTAACTTTGTCCAGTAGCCAAGATGTCTTACAAATGCAAGAAACAGTGAATGAACTTTCACTGAACTCTGTTTATGAAGAAGTAAACCAATGGCATGAAACACCAAATCTAGAAAACCTGGAATCTAAGGCAACATCAACAAATATTGCGGAATGGATAAGGAATCCCCCTGTTAAGAAACTGAATGTTAAATTCTCTGTTGAGGCCGTAGCGCAAGTCAACCATTTCCATGGTAACTTGTCACAAGGAGAGGACTCACAATCTGATGAATTGGCTGAGGATGCCAATAGCCCAGTGTACTTACAGAGGTGTAATTGCACTTCAAAGCCTGAAGAGTTGTTAAAGAGCTTTACCTGTAAGAGGAATTGTAAGAATGAAACCGGCAGTGACAGTATAGTTTGTTCAACTGAAAGGGATTGTAGTAATATTGATGAGAAAGACACCGAGGTGATTAACAATTCCAAAGATGATGTTTTAGAAAGAGTGTTTACTGCTCCTAGCCCTGTTGTAAGCGAAAACGACAACGAAACTGTACAAGAAAAAGTCGGTGAAACTTCTACGCCTTTATGTCGTGGCGAAGTTCAGCAGTCTCTCGGCCCGTGCATATATCAACTAAAAATGCTCTCGTCGCCAGAGGAGGCAAAGCAAGCCATAACCGATATTCTGAAAGCAGATCCCAGGTCAGTATACAGACGGAACCATTGTCAAGATCAGTTATATCGCTTTAGCATTGATACAATGAATATTACTTGTAAATTTGAGGACTCTTCGGTTAAGGTTTTACAAATAGAACCTGTGTACTTCAGAGAACTGGACAGAAACTACCGCGATTAAAGGGAAGGCGGGTCTGATGCAAAAGATTCCCTAAATAAATCCCGGTCATTACTGTAATGTGAAATTTGCCGCAGCTAACAAAGCTGAGGCCATATTAAGACGCTTTGCCAACTGTTTCACAGCAGCTCTAGGGCATCTGAAACTCGGATGTGATGTTAGACTATTATAGCATTTTGGTGAAGGCAGGTGAAGTTGAGTTCACTCAGAGTTTAGAAGAACAGAAGAACAGGCGGGTGAGCGTTGTTTTGAACTTTACTTTTGATCAGTTTTGAAGATAACTTCTGTTCTGTGTTAGTAAGTCCATGCGTTTTCCGAGCTCTATCTGACATATTTAAAGTTCTTATTTTATTACCACTTACGAAGGCGTATAAATAAACTTTTTTCTTCTTCTTCCTCTACTGACGCATTTTATTTCGCGTTCTAATGTATTACCAAGTGAAATGGGTGCGACATCGTTTTCCTTTTCGGTTATCACATTACCTCACTGGTTGTGCATGAGTACACTCAAGACAGCGCAATAAAACGAAAGGAAAAAAACTTTATTGAACTGCAGTACTTTACATATATAAATCAGTTTCTGATGGGCGGGCCTGTCTTGATATCTCCTGCATTGTTTTTTGGCCTATATTCAGTGATCTTGACTTCAAAGTTGATCAATAACGCATATGAACAGTCATGTACTTGTTTTTTATAAAAACGTTGACCGACGTTACAACCTTTAAATTAAAAAACACCAAAATGCTGTCTTGAGCTTGGGCTGTGAGTGTCCCCTTGGCTCCTGGTCTGTCTCACGGTAAGCCCGTTTCATCAACTTTCCTACAGTAAAGTATACATGAAACAAACTCATCTTAGTATGTTTGGACTTAGAATTGATCGTGACTTAGCACTTAACCTCGGTTGTTCAAGAGTTGAACAGCGCTTTCAACCGGACAAATTCCCAGTCAAGGGTTCGTACAGAGTCTTGAAATCTTGAAAGATAGTCTTGAAATTTGCGGGCCAGTTTTGCGGACCATTAAAAATACTGGGAAAATGGGGGGAAAGTCGGGATTTTTTTACTAAACGTGTAACAAATGCAAAATTACTGATTAATGTTTTGTTCTCGGCAGTCCAATTCTTAGCTGACCACGTCTAGGGACCAAAACATTTAATCGGAGACTGGAAACTTACGTCTGCGTTTAACGTCTGCGTTGCACTCAGGCTTTGGTTACTGCACGTTTGCTGTCCATCATGGGAAAAACTTGGCCCCTGCGTTTCTCAAGGTTTTAATGTATTACCTTTTTGATAACCTAGTGTCTGCCAAAAGAAGTTATTGTTTTGGAAAAGTCTAGTGCATCTCAAACTCTGCCATTCTCTGCCCAGGTATTAGGGAGACCAATTGCGTCGTCCATTGGATAGAGCTATTCTCTTTCAATCAACCGGAGCCTGCTGTCAAAGTTCGCTCAAACTTGTGCAATATTCAGTGAGGCGGTAGAACTTACTGTTGTTTTTATCTTTTCTTTTTTGCAAACTATCAACAAAACTAAACCAGATATTTTTTATTGCGCATAGGTCCGGTTGAATATTATCCACTCTTGGTGGTTGTATCGCTAATCGCGTTTATGCAAAATGACGTAATATAAAAGATTATTAAAAAAAACATAAAACATACTGCTTGTAAGAGTGTATTAAAAGATCAAAGGTTAAGCGTTTGTTTTTATAGTGCAAAGTGCAGTTAGGTTACCCAGCTAGTTTACAGGCAATCCACTCAAATAGTTTGAAACAAGTATTTCAAATATAACATAACAGGATTAAAACCCCCAACTGGCCGGAGGCACCCACTTGGCTGGTTACAAGCGTGGCCGAGGACTTGAACTCCGGGCGACATTTAACAAATCCAGCAACTGGCCACAGCGGGACTAGAACCGGGACCGCCGGATTGCGAGTCCGACGCGTTGGCCACTTGGCTACGCTGCCTTCTAGTGAATTGTGGGGAAAATGATTAACGCCGGGAAAGATCACGATCGCACCGATCGTCAGAGAATGTGTGATGGGTCCCGATACGATGGGCTGTAATTTCTCCGGGGAGACCTTTAGTTCTGTCCAGACGAATGCGATCGTCCTGCATCGAGCGTGGCGAAATAAAGCGACCGGACATATTTTAGGACGACTCGGACGATCAAGACTATTTGGTATGGAAACCATTCTTCAAGCAAAAACCGAAGCATCATGGGAAGCCTTACCGGTGTCGATTGAAGTTTGTCTTCAGCTTACTGACGACTCTTTGTTGTATACGCTTTATACGATTCGTTAAAGACGGGATCCCATCAGCACAGGCTATGCAATCAGTCATCAGCTCTGCAAATAAAACATACCAAACTTCAAGGGCTGAAATACTAAAAAACAAAACAAAAAAGGTGCATATTTTTTTTCAAAATGAATGGGCCGTGATAGTAGGGAGGTCGCCACGACAAGTCGAGAGAAAATAAGACGCACGTGATCTGGGGAAAGGGGCGGTGGTGGGAAAAGAAGGAGAGAGCCTTCATCTTCTTCTCCCTTCGCAAGCCCCTCACGTTTCTCACATCAGTTTTTGCGATCTCTTGACATTAATAGGGAGCTCAGTAAAGACGTTTTGGAGCAAAGCACGTCAACTGGAAGTGAAGCCTTTTCCTTTTTAATATGTCTTGACGCAACGAGATTTGTAGTGTTAAGTGTTTTTACTCATATAAGACGATTTGCCAAAAAGCTGGGAAAAAAACACTGCCCAAGAATGCAAAAAGTCCACTTCCGGTTGACATGAATCGCTCAAAAACGGCTTTGCTTAAACTCCTTACTATCTTGGAGCCTGAAACAGGCTAAACTCTGTGGGCCAGTTATTTAAACAGGGTCTGGTCAGTGTTTAACAAAACCGCGTTCTAAGCCGTTTTCAGTTTATCTAACGTTAACGTTTTTCTCTTGACGCTATTTATCGTGAAAAGTAATTTCGAGGTATAAGGCGTAAAATACACAAGCATTTATCTTCTTAAAATAACCCACTAAGGACGAGATCTGGATGTCCAAAGATTTGCTAAACCGCTGCGGCTTAAGTTAGTCTTCGTTTAAATCGACCCGATGTCTTTACCTTCCACTTCCTCTCGGGTCTTTAATTCTCCAGGAATATAGTATTTCTTCCGGAGATTCTGAAACAAATACATCACTAACTAAGTAAGAAAATCTGACTGCCAAATAATGGCATTAATTTTCACATAGGCCATAATGCAACCCCCCTCCCAAATTTTGCATAAACATCGTTTCCAATTTCTCCTGGGTATTACAGTTAGTCCCGAGAGAAATTGGGGGTAAACAAGGTGCATTCTGGTCTATGTGAAAATGGTGAGTTTACGGCGTTGGTAATATTCCATACAGTCTTCGTTGCCATTATGCAGTGTAACAGGTGATTGCGCATCCTCAGAGACGAATGGGATACATTCATAGGCGAAATCATTGCGGGTTAAGTTTAAAACAAGATTGGAAATAGCCTTCAGATAAGGCGCTATTTTTTCTGCGTTTTTCGAGTGAGCAAAGCACGAAGTGGGCGTGGAGCGCGGGACACGCGCGACGTAGTAAGACGCCTTCTGCGCGTGTCTCGCGCTTGCCTTCACTCGCCCTGGAAAAAGGCGAAAAAATAACGCCTGTTTTGCAGACTAGATTGGAAAATATTTTCTGGCAAATACGCAGCAGCTGTAAGGTAATGCAGCTGGAACTTGTCCTGAAAGGTTTAGAAGCTAGTCCTCACCCAGTACTTGAACCTGCTGTGCCACTCAACGATCGCCACTGCTTGCATCCTCAGTGCGGTGAAACTCAGCAGGGACTCCTCTTGAACAAGCTCGTACGTTAACGACAGCTGTGCGATCAGAATGTTTAACAGAATAACAGACACACTAATCATATAGACTATGATTAGTAAAGCACCAAGCCACCTAGAAAGCAAGGAAGATCGAAAAACCGGAAAAGCTTTATATTTGAAAACACCGGAGGTGATGGTTTCAAGTGTGTTGGCTACGTTCACACGTGCATTTAGGTGTTTTGTTCACATGGAACCAAGCTAACTGTGGGAAAATTTGAACGCCTAGCCGTTCAAAAATTCGAACGCTAAAACCAAGTCAAACTTTCAGCCGGTTCGGTTGAAAATTAAATAGCTAAATGTTTGGGCTAAATGTGAACACTATAACAGTCAAATTTTTTTTACGGCAATGGCGCGGATGCATTGATGCGTGGTTACTCAGCTGGGAGAACAACAACAACAACATAGACTTTATTTTCACTCGAATTTTGGAGTAGCTAGCGCAGCTGACACGACATAAAAATACATTCCGGTGAAGTGTGAACGAAGCTTTTGAGGCCGACAGCCATCATTGTTGCTCCAATCTCCTCGTCTTTTTTGTGCTTCCTACTGAATAGAAAACTAAAGTGTATATGCATACAACATGTGCCATGCCCTGAATGTACTTCATTTTGTGTAAAGCTACGCCCTCGGATACTTCCCAGAGGATTCTAAGCAAAATTAACTCACCCTACTTCGGACAAGTTGCTCACAACGGACGATCCTTGTAGCCATGTCATGATCCCGGCTAAAATAACACACTCTACTTTACCACCGCAAGAGCTGTCGCTCCTGAGCGTGCTGCAAAAAAGGTCGTTGTCAAACGGTTATAATATGAAGCAATGCCATAAACTCAGCTAGCATACAGCACATCCTAGGTTACTGGTGCACGAAATGTCGCTCCTGAGCATGCTTTATAAATTAAGGACGTCAACTAACATGAGAGTCATGGAACTAAATCAAGCAATAATTGTGCTTGTGGAAGGTAATAAGCTCGAATAAAAAAGATGTCGTTTTTGAAGAAACTGTGCCTCAGATAAAAAAGAAAAATAGTCGTGACACCCTCTATAAAACCTTGAGTCCTGGTCTGTTTTCAAAGAACAGCAAAACAATGTCACGGAATAAGGGGGAGCGGGGAAGGGGGGGGGGGTGAATGGGGGTATACGAATCCGCCTTTAAAATTTCGCCCTGAATCCGAAATCCAGGCAAAAAGAGTTTAATTACACGCAATGTTCAATATCAGGGTTCAAAAAGTGAATGAATCCGCAATCCGCTGCAATTGCAGGATCCCGAAATCGCTTAAAATCTTGCTTTGAATCCAAAATACGGGCAAAAATATTTTCCAAATTCCCCTGATCCGTTCGCCTATTGACCCCCCTCAATAAGGGTGCATTGCAGAGCTAATGTTTTGGTCATAAATCAAACATAAATGTTTTTTGTTTGTGTTTGTGGTCCAACGCAGACATAGTTGCTAATTTAACTTTCGCTCTCTAATAACAACAATACATTAAGCGGGCTACGAGAGACCTGTCAGCCTAATTTACGTCTAGTACTACTCACTTGTTTGGGAGTAAGCTTTGGTTAAAATTCAGTGGTTTGTGAGTATGTACTCTGATAGCCAAGACGAATGACACCGAAAAAGTGAACAAAACTATACAAAACACAGACAGAAATCGCGGAATGTCCTGAGAAATGATTTTTCCAAGACTTTTTATATACATGCCAGCGTCCCTGCAAAAAATAACATTAAAGAACTACCCGTAAAGGGCGATGCTTCAGTACTTGGGTGTGGGGAAGGGGTAAGGGGGAGTGGGCAGGGACGGGTTTACTGATCGTATCGGTTAGAAGGGCAAATTTCAGATATGGCGAATTTTACCGTATTTTACCCTAACCCACAACCTTAATTATCCAAACAATCGTACCTCCCATAAGCGACCACCCAAAATGCGAAGACTTAGTGGTCGTTTACGGTATAGGAGGTCGTTTACGACAATCGCACCACAGGGGGATCTCTTCCGAGAAGAGGTCCAGAGACCCCGGACACATCTACTTTATGGAAGATAATTCATTACATGCAATTTCTAAGTTTCAATATGTCTACCTCTATGTGGCATAGTACATACAGAGAGCCTAGAGATCAGACGATGTGACAAGTGGTTGCTTATAAAAGGTTAAAAGCAATGAAAATTTTTATTAAACCATCAGCCCCGAAACGTGATCGCAGTAACTTATAGGAGGTGGTCGTTTACGAGAGTTTCCAACCGTAAGGCTTTGACTGGGAAATTTTTGGAGTTTTGGACAAGTGGTCTCTTTATATGGGGGGTGGTCGCTTACGAGAGGCGGTCGCACATGGAGGTTCCACTGGATAAAGAAAACCAAACGTCGCCAGCATTTCGCCGTTGTCAACATCTTTAATTAGCATCAAAATGATCAAAGCTTCTATTTGGTTATCTAGTGTGATGGAGACGACCTTCCACGTACTTTGACAAACGGATGTACGTGATTCTAGGTTCATTTCCCTGTAGCCTGAGAGAACAGCCGACATTTCGCGATGCTACCACTAGTTTCCCAGAAAAATGACATCACCAATCAGATCTTGGTAGTGCTTCTGATTGGTTGAAAATTTGCTGTATACAATCAGATGCACTAACCAGATCTTAGTAGTGACGCGTCATCAGCATGGAATTTCTGCAATCGTTCCTCAAAAAACTTGCTTTCTTTTTACAATAAATGCCGAAACCTATTAAACTTGAAATTGCAAATATGGATTGCATCATGGTGTGACAAGCTAATGAAAACTGGTCGAAATCCACCGTAAAGGAAGGCTGTTTAAATCTCCCGCTGTGGGTGTCTTATGCACTACACCCAAGGCTAGAAACTGAGCCTACCTTACCACTAGCAATAAGAAATTCCCTTTTTACTTCACTTTTCAGTTCGTTAAAGAAGGGGAGAAGAAAGGAAGGAAGGAGTCATGGATGAGAGGACAACAGATCGACGCGCCCTCTTTACAATTAACAATTAATGAATGAGGCTGAGTATCAGTTATGAAGAATTATGGAGATCTCGATCTCCATAATTCTTTATATGATACGAAAGCCGAATTCAGTAATTGTTTTATTATTCATTCAAAATAATTCCTTGTTTAAAAACATGGCTAAAATATGCTTACCTCCATCGATCCATCGATGTTAAGTTCATCCTCGATAGTGCACGTTTAGGGTTGTTCAGCTCCGCAAATATTCTCCAAATAGCCGATGTCGCCCTTCGACTTGTCTTCTTGCTGTTCTTGCAATGCTTTTAGCTATTTTTTCGCCTAGTTCTTACTCTTGAAACGACTGAAATGTTCGCCATTTTTCAAGTTAACAACCAAAACAACTCATCCTCGTAACCAGGTCTTCTCGGTTAACGGTGCATTAACCTGCAAGAACGCTGCATTTTTGACGTCATTTCCTCACTAAACACAAAATTCTTCCAAATTTCGTCATCGGAAACTGGTTATGGTTAATTTAACGTGTGCTTTTAGCCAATCAGAATCGGGGAAATACTTTGAATGAATAATAATTAACAATTATTGGACGAGGTTGAGCAAAATATCGTGATTTGTCTGTGGCGAGCAGATCAAATAATTGATCTGCGAAACACTGACAAATCACGATATTTTGCGATAACCGAGTTCAATAATTGTTTTATCATTCGATCACCGAGTTTGTTTTTTTAATGAATATCCTCAGGAAGCGAAGCGATCTGCCATTTTCACGCAACAGCGATCGCAAGAAGGAGAAAAGCACGGTGTCCTTTAAGCATGTCCAGAATATTATTTGCAGCCAAACACAGTTGGACGGCATTGTGCATGAGCAGACCATTATTTGTAGGCAGTTATTTGCAGGTCACGTGGTGGGCTGTCGGCCAATGAAAAGAAAGAAAAATTTGCTTCGGAGGATAATATGAGTTAACATGTGAATAGTGAGCTTGGACGTCAGCATACAGCATACATACATATCATTGTTTGTAGTACCCACCGAGATCCAATGGAATACTTGAACACTCCGATCATATTTATGCAGGTTGCTAACGAAGCTGCTACCCACTGTAGTTCACTTTCAAGAAATCGGAACACATACACAGAAATAATGAACGCATATCCTGATAGATCCAGGTAGTTGAAGACATCTTGGATGTAGGTGCTCGGTTCCCTGTTAAATATAAATGCACTCAGTTAAAGTACCTTTCTGGAACTGCTTTGGAAAGTTATTCCTGGTGCACCTTAAAACAATAGTAGGACATGTTCCTTATCTTACTTATGACGTACTCTTACGCATTCTACTCTCTCTCTCTCCGTCACGCTTGTGCATGGCCGCCCGTTGTATTAGAGACGGACGATTAGGTTAACATGATTAAGTGACAGGTCTTAACAGTGATTGGTTAATCTTGGGCATGTGCATCCTTGAACTTTCTCTCCCGAGAGTACTCAAGAGAATAGAGACCTTTAGATTTAAGGAAGAGGACGACTACGAGTACGACATTTGACTTTGGGTTTTTTCGCGTATTCTCAAAATAGAGACTCCCCGGAAAGCATCATTTTACCATTTTTCACGAGAAAAGTTAGCACTGTTACCTTTAGTGGAGGAGGTTCTACCCTCTCTCGATCGCAAAATGACTGAAACTACGTATACTCACTTATGATAACTTGTTTCCGCTACTTCGCCAATTCGACATTCTCGCTAAAACTCGTAGTAGAATGACGACGGCTACTACATTTTCCCGCCAAAATGATGCTGGTCCACGCTCGAGCACTACTTAGTATAGAGAAAATCTCGTACTCGTAATCGTACTCGTGATCGATGTTACACGAGACGATTCGCAACGACAATTTTTAGCACAACACAGGGTTCCAACATCGTTGCGACATTGTTTTAAATGCTTGCAACATTGTTCCAATATTGCAACGCTATGTTCCGCTAAAAATCGTCGTTGCGACTCGTCCCGTGTAACATCGCCTTAAAAATCTAAAGCTTTCTATTGATAGCTAGAGGGCCAGAAGCAAAGGACTGACAGGACTGACAGTGAGTTACAACACACAAGGGGGCCTCACATCTTTATCAGTATTAATAAACAGTTGCAAACAAATACGTTTATCCATGTGTACTCTGCGAAACCGCGCTCAATCTGTATTATTTGGCGGCCATTTTGAATTTTTAGAGTTATCGGATCTTCCGAGAATTTGAATTGTCTAGCCTTCCGGCCGTCCGAGATCCCAGAAAGTATCTTTGCCACAGACCTCGCAACATGAGTTCGCCTACAAACCCCGCTTTACGGACAGATACCTCATTTTTACGGAGAGTTTGCTTTGTCCCTGGGGAAACAAAGTCCTTACAATTTCTCTCAATTCAACGCACTTAATACGAACACCCCGTTCATACGGACACTTCCTATGCCCCCTCAGTATCCGTATTAACGGGATTTGACTGTATTTAAAATTCAAAATGTATGCCACAAAAAACAGGGTAAGCGTATATTCTTTAGTAGTTCTAATCAGAATTGCCTGAGATCTCTGGGCCACTTTCTTAAACTTTTGAAATAATACAGTGGAACCTCGATATAACTAACCTCTATAAGTGAAACGAAGTCCTTGGTATAATGAACGATTTTCTTTCAGTCCAGTAACAGTAAAATATATGAAAAAGAACCTCGATATATATTGAGGTTCCACTGTAGTAGTAAAGGCTTAGTTTATGAAAAATCCACCTTTTAAGCTCAGCAATCTCATCACATAAAAACCATATTGTCATCAAGATGCAGACAATGTCAAGAGCGAAAACTGGCGTCCTATAATCCACCGGGTCATATGATCTTGCAGCCAGCAAAAAAGATGTGACAAGAGCCAAAAGGAAAACCAAATAGTTTAATGTTCGAAATCTGAAGAAAGATAATACATAACTATGAACACACGTAACTTAGTAACTAACCTACAGAAAAATGACAAACGTATAAGGGGAGGTGGAGAGTGACAGAACCCTCAAGCGAAGAGGAAAAGGGCGAATTAATTTGCGCGGCGAAGTAGGAAAAACAGAAGAGTTACTAGTTGAACTTTCATTTCAAGGCCTTACTGCGCTCTTCGCATTCCAGCAAGGTGTTTTTGTACCATGTGACTGTTTAGCTGGAAAGGGCCTATTGCTTCAAGATTTCAAGATTGTCTTCTTGCCAGTCTTCCTAGCCTGTGAATACAGCTGTCCTCCTCGGCGTATTCGCAAGCTTGCCCGTGCCAGGCTCCAAGATAGTAATGTGCAGTGATCGTGAAAACTAACAAGCTTTTTTTTCCTACCACCACTCCTTCCGACCCCAGTTCAAGCCCGTCTTATTTTAGCTTGGCTTGCACCTTGACCTCCCTTGGCCTACCATCTGAGAGCCAGTCCAAGTCAATATATCAACAGTCGATGACAGGAAAAAAACTTCGGGGGGGGGGGGCATATAAAAGTGAAGGGGATGCTCGTCGTGTCCCTTAGGGATAGAAATAGCAGAATTCGGTCTCACTTTGTTCAAGGCCGATCATCAACATTTTCTCAAACAAAGGTATCGCATAGGGTTGTGCGGAAGTATCTCCTAAAACAAAAGGAAACGCCGTCATACAGTGTTGAAGTATGGTCTCCTTTAGGTGTCCAATAAAGCCTAAGCCACGCCGAGACTGGTATCCTTTTGGGGTTTCATTCTAATTTTCAGACGAGCTTACCCAATACAGTCAGTTACACGGGAGTCCCCGCCACCTAAGGGGTGGGGGCAGGGGGGGGGGGGGGGGGGAAAACACCGCACAAATTTATCTAAAAAGAATCCCAGACCTGAACCAGAAGAGAGCATACTTCTCCCATTTCCTTGCTGTCAGCATTTTTATGACAGCGTGGTTTAGTATTTCCTGCAAGATAAACAAAATGCCAAAAATGTACTTTTAAAAGACTGATCAGTAGTGGGGTCTTTGTTTTTTGGCAGGAGCCTGTTTTCGATTAAAGTCGGCAGTACACGTATCATGGGAATTCTCCCAAGACTCGGTTAAAAAAGCTACTTTAAAGGTACGCTCGCTGGTGCACAATGTAATCTTTGATTAATAGAAGCAAATCATTATCAATAACTTTAGAACGTTTTCCGCAAACAACATGGCCTGCGTGCAGATGTCTTCTATTTCAACACTATCAAATGAATTCGGAAAACGTCGATTTGGCGCTTTCAAATTTTAATCCAACTCTCTATGGACCACTAAACAATGCCATGAAATAATTCATGGAGTAGTTATAGGACCGATTGGATCCCAATCTCTTACAGCTCTCCCTAGTGGCACGCCGGCAGCCCTCCCCCCGCCAAGGCCTCTGTTGTGTGCGTTAGGGAGACGATTGGGGACTAGATATGGGAAACTGAAAGTTAGATCATACAAGAAAAATAATGCACCCATTGAGTTTTTTTCCACCCATCACACCTATGACTTGCACCCAAGGGTAGTTAGTAAGGTTACCTTGTTGAGTGTCCGGTTGCAATATTTAGCCAAATTATAGTAACAAGACCTAGGAGTGTATTCATATCCAGATTCATTTGGGCATCTTCCGTTTACATCACTCTCCAAGATGTCATAGGTCACGTGAAAGTGAGTGGGTGTGTCCTGTAAGTTCCTCCATGAAAGACACGGAACAGTGTCACTCGGTAGACATGGAGGGTGGGGCCAGCGAGGAGATATAAGGCAATCAAGTATGGCCACAATGGTTTTCTGTCAACAGTTAAATGAGTAATGTAAGTAACTTGAGGCAGAATTAGTTAGTTGTTATCATATTTCTTAATAATACATCCCTGTACTGGTCTCCTACCCTGGGTATTTTAATTTATTTGTAAGAGATCAGGTCAAGTTGTGACTAATGTAGAACAAAGCCTGCAAGAGACTTTTGAGAGAAACTTAAGTGTTGTTAAGTATTGTCGGTTGAACAAGCCGAGATTTCTACCCTTCGAGCAAGCTCACTTCTTTTTTTTTTTTTTTTTTTTTTTTTTTTTGTAGGGGGTGGAGAGGGCGAGAAAAAAGGAGAAGGAGTTTGAAGTCACTTCTCAGGATTTTGCTGGCTAGGGTTACGGATGTAAAGAATAAATTTCAATGCCTTTACTTTAATTCATACTTTTCCTGTTTTACTACCTGCATTTTGAATTCCTCTGTAATTTTTACCAAACTAAGCGAGGCTTTCTTTTGCTGGTTGGCTCTAAACAACCGTACAACTCTAGAAAAAAAGAAAAGAATAGTAAAGTATAACATATATTCATTACCGTAAATCTTGATGATTTTAATACAAAATTCTTTTAGACTGACCGAATAAAAAAACTCTGCCTGTAAAAGACGAAACAAAATTTGAAATCGTTTCATCAAATATTAATTAAGAAATGGTTCATCCTCAAAGTGATTTTCGGCTTACGATAGTAAATCTGCTGGAATAATCAAGAGATAGTGAGCTCTCTTGTCTTATATATTAAAGTGCACTTGCTCATATTTATGAGATCCTAGGTCCCTGGGTTCCCTGTAACCAGCCTTACCTTCTGTGATCCATTCTCCTAATAAGTACTGCAGCTACATCGTCCTGGCCAGTTTTGATTGCAGTCTCAACTGGAAGTTCACCCTGAGCATTAGTACTCAGGAGCATGCTGGGATAGTTGTTTATCAAGAACTGGGCAACTTTGACGAAATTCTTTGTAGCAGCTATGTGCAATGGACGGTTGTGAAGAATATCTTCAACATTCTCCAAATTAACACCTTCGTCACACAAAAGCTTCAGAAATCTGCAAATCTAGGATAGAGTTGGTTTCAATGAGTAGTTAATAAATAGAAATTTCTAGTGAGACTCTAATGACGATCGGTACATAAGCGCACCACATTAATTATATTTACGGGACAGTAGGAACATTTACTTCTTTGACGATGTCCAATCAGATTTGTTTTCAGTTCGTATTGATCAGCGAACAGATCAAAATAAGGTAGGTCATAAGACGGGTTAGCAAAAATCATTTTTGCTCTTCAATTATATAACTTAACGTCAATCAAAAATCAACAGTAATGTCAATCAACGAAAAGAACGTATTTTCAGTTTTTCCAGTAGTATTTTACGAATTCAGGCGCGGATCTAGAATAAATACTGAACGATCTCCTACTTCTAGGGAGGTCTAGGGGCATGCTCCCCCGGGAAATCTTTGGGATTTTAACTCCCCAAAGTCCCCTTTCCTAGGTCTCTGAGTCATTCAGACAGGATATTTACTGACTGTTCAAACCATTTTCCAGATATCAACTAGGAAAGTTTAAATTTTTTTACTAAAAATATATTTATTATGAAAAATTTGACCGATTTCAGTAAAACGGTGGAAAGCGGTATGGCCGGATCCGCTCCTGGAATTATCGCTTTTCCTTTCACTGGAATGGTGTTCTCACCTGTGGCTCGTAATTCCATTCCTGTAGTAGAAAAAACGCGGTGTTTTCCTTTGTGTCACAAGCGTCTATCAATCTTTGGAGGCGAACTGTGTCCATGGCTTGATGCCTGTCGATACCTTTTTCTCCCATTTCTTTTTTGACCTTTGCAACAATAAACAACGGCAACAGCAAATAGAATAATTTACACGGATTACAGTGTTATTGCAAACTAATCATCAAATCATACGTAAGTGATGAGAATTAAAAGAAGAGTGGGATCCAGGGAAGTACTAAGCACTTATGGAAGAGGCGGAGGGGAGGGTTGTGACTCGTCTGAAATAATTTAATAAAGAAAGATCGATTTTCCAGATAGCGAAATGAGTCGAGTCAGGTGCAGACTGTGGCAGAGTTTTAGGATGTCATACCACAGTTTTGTTGACATTTGAATTCTCATTTGCGCCATAAGTCATACAAAAAGAAAGAAGTGTGTGTGTTTTGGAGGTGGAAGGGGGGGGGGGGGGACGGAGAGTGAGCTAAGCCCCTTGACTTTCCCTACCAGCCCTGTCTTGGTAACCCGTCTTGGCACGCCCCTATGCGCAATTTCGCGTTTAAAGAGTAATTCGTGATATTGCTTTGTGATTTGCAAACGTAACATTTAGTGATTTTCACCTTTTTTAACCATTCTATTTTGAGGGACTTAATTTTCAAAATTCACGAGGGTCGATCAAATAAGCGTTTTGCTTTATTCATAAACACCTGCTCTTAGCTATGCGGTTGAGTGATGTATGTGAATGTCTGTTGTTTTTAAAATAAGTACATGTACTAACTTGACTTATTTACATAGCGCACCCAGGGTTATTGTGCAGAAATGAAAAAACACTTTGCACACGAGCAAATATTAGGTGATTATCTGACTGCGCAAGAAATGAAAGCTAAATTACCATATATATGAACTGATAAAAAAGGTAAAAAGACTACTTGAGCAGAGACCTAATTTTCATGGTGAAATGAAACTGCAGATTATAGGCATATTGACTGTTTTACTCATTACTTTTTATATCATCCTTACGTGCATAAAAGACGAGAAACCTCCAGTCATGAAGTAAATGTAAAGAAAAATCAGAGGATTGCCTTTTCCTTTTCCGGGTCAGTTAAAGCTTATATTTGGAGTGTTTACATGTAAAACGTGCAATCGAGGAACTGGACCATCAAAAATCACAATACAGAGTTCCAAACTGAGTTTTAACTGATGAGGTTGGCACGAGTGAAAATTATTGTAATGCTTTCTGCGTAAGAAAGGGCACTCGTTAATGATGTTTACTTTAGATTAATAAAGTTGATGGAAATTAATCAAGATGTCAGGAAACCACGTCCTTTTTTGCTATGGGCGAAACAGAATATTGATAGAAATAGTGTTGATTTCGAAACTATGGTAGTTCATATCAAGTCATTCTAGAGTTTTTTTTTACGTAAGCTAATAATTTCAGTAATAGCCAGTTTGTGTTAAAATATTAACGCGAAAGGAACCAAAATCCAAAATCGCACAAAGCAGTTTTAGTAAATAAAGACATGGTTCCTTTTTAAATTTTGACTAAATATAATTAAAACCAATTATAAAACTCAGTAATACCGTAGATAAAATTCTTAGAGGCCTATGCGAGAAATTTAAAACCGAAGTGTTGGCTTTTGTGGTATAATCAAGTTTTTAAGAAAACCCTGCCTATCAGGCATTATTAGCCGAGCGGTGCCAGTAAAATACTACACGCAGTTTCGAGAAAACGTGAACTGTAATTACATACCTGCTCGTAAAATTCCTTATTATTGTAGCGTATGATCTCCGCACAATGTTCTTGTAGAGTAAAAGTGCTGTTAAAGGAAGACATTAATGTATCGTCCACAATAGATGGGTGTCTTTGAAGAACTAAGTCTTGAGTGGATGTTTCGAAATCCATTGTCAGAACCAGTCTGGGTCAAGTTTGATTTTGATTTTAGTCCTAACGGACCCTCTTCAAGATTTGATTACAAACTGTCAGTGAAAAGGTTATTAAGATATCCGGAATACGTGTTCCCAAACTTAATTACAAAAAAACAATGCTCCCGGCAAAAAGAAAAAAAAAGGGATTTCGTTTTTATGGTCGGCTTCAGTTACGTAATCAGTAAGGTGACTAGGTAACGTTTGCATTCTGCTGTGATCTCTTTAAGCTAGAAAATGAATTAATAAGAAATTAACTGTCTAGTGCTAACATAAATTTGATCTTATCATAATAAACAGTTCTCACTTCTTCTTAGCTCTGATAGGCTGAGAGTATGGAATCTGCTGCGCGAATGGAAAATTAATGATAATTTCGTGGGGTGTACACAAATGCATTACCTATTAAACTCGCCAACTTTTTTCGCTGTGTGATGTTCTTTACTCTAGCGAGAAAAATGTCTCACAGAGATCTCAAAGTTTTCTAGATGGTATAATATTTGTTCGCACGAAAAACCTTTGACGACTGATCTGTGGACTTAAGCAAGCGCAGCATTTCTGGAGAGAACCACAATAATTTTTTTAAAGACCGTTATCAGCTTCATCTTTTGGGTTATAAAGCTTTACTGAAGTTTAAGCTTGAGTGACTTGATATTAGTCAGGAGAAAAACTGAATCGCATTCAGCGCCGTCCACCCTATCTTTGAAAATCCTTATGAATAACCATTAAAGCTTTCAAATGGAAATTTCCTTTTTCTTAACAGCTTGAGATTTTTTGTTTTGACGAATGTTATCTTAGTGTACATTTTTTAAACATGAAACTCCGCATGCCTGAGGTGGCTTTTACACGCAAGCAATGGATCACATTTTGTAATTTCTGTACAATCTCGATATAATGAAGGGCCAAAGGACTGGCAAAATTTGTCCGCTATAACGAGGTTTCGTTATATCGTGGTTCTTTTTCATATATTTTACTATTACTAGAGTAAACACAATCGTTCGTTATACCAAGGACTTCGTTTTATAGAGGCTCGATATATCGAGGTTCCTTTTCACATACTGTATTTTTTGGGTTATGAGGCGCACTCTGTTATAAGACGCACCCCAAACTTTTCAACGCGATTTTTCTAAGTTAAAAAACTAAAAATTAACCCAAAATACCCGGCTATAAGGCGCAGCCGCGATTTTTTGGCGATGTTCACCATAACTACAACAACACGCTTTCCAACGACGCTGATTACTGCCATTCACCTAACAAAAGCGAAAAAGGCTTCACACTTCGATCAAAAGCGAAAAACTACACCTGTCAACACAAGAAGCATTGTTTTCTAAAGCTGCGAATACTTAGGGAATCCGTTTTTGTTCCATAAACAAGTCAGCTGTCTTGGTTGTGGCATATTGACATATTGGTAGTATCACAGGTAACCCAGGCTCACTATTTGTGTCACGTACGGGTGTCATATAATATGATTAAATATAGCGAACATATGGGGCGAAGTTTAGGTCTGGAAATTTGCTAGAAAATGGAAATAAAAATCTATGAATCTTACCATGTGATGAGTTGTTGTTGTCCTTAATATGCACACGAAGTTTCGGGAAAAATAGTCTCCTTCATATTTCCTACATAGTTAACTGGCGCCACTTCACTGGCTAGTATTTTCTTACAACATCACTATTCCAATAGAATTGTATTTTATTTGCCTCAATTTAGAATAAGAACATTATTAGCCATGAAAACGAGAGTTTTTCGTAACTCACTGATTCCGTGTGTATTGTGCACCAATGATAGAATTGGGGCTTCTCTTGGCCCGCAGGACGCTCTCTCGATACGGATTCGTGCCCAGTCGCTTAACAGAGGTTTGGATACGAGAACGGTCGAGGCGCACAAATAATGGTGTGACCCACTTGGCTTAGTAAGGTCTAGCCTTTTGGAGACAAAGTTTTCTGTTTTCTTTCCTAACATTAACTCACTACAGAATTGTAACTTTAAACTCTTGGGTCCTTTGTGAGCCTAAAAGTTTAAGATGAGACAGTCACTGGAATATATACAGCGAGTTCAAAGTGTGCGTCACATAAAACGCCCCATATTAGTCATACACCACCTTTTGAAGGGAGTCATATAGAATCTGACAGTCTGTGGAATGTTGGATTCTCTCCAAGCAGAACATTAACTTTCAAAATTTTGAAATTCTGAGGTCTCTTGAAGGATACATTTGTTTTCTTTCGTTTCTCCTCTGACTAGTTCCTCCTAAAGAGACCACATTTTGTGGAGATTTACTGTTGAGTTGGGTCGATTTCGACTTGTCAAACAAATCCAGCACAATTTTGACCACAATATGTAAGGATGCCAATGCAGCAAGAGTATGCATGGCATAAAACTTGCAGCCAGCATTTCAAGAGCAAATCCCTGAGCAAATGTGCCATTGCATACTGTTTCATAGCGCCTTCACCAAGTACTGCTATCCAGACCACTTCTGAATCCATGCTACTATCTGGTCCAAATTATTTTCTAGTTCCTCTGTGGTGTCACTTTGCAATTCATGAACAATTTCCGTTTTGTAACTTTCTCTAGCCTCTTCCAATATTGTCTGCATAATTTCACATTCCACATTGTCAGTCAGCTTTTTTCCACTGTAACCCCTGAAATATTTGTAAAGCACAACGGTCATGAGAATAAAGGTACTTTTTAGCGGAGCTCTTGCGCGCGCAACGGAGACTCCAATACGATAGAAAATGGAAATCGATCAATGCAAGAAAATTTGGCAGTTACGTGACCATCCGTCCGTCCCCACGTACACACGTACGTACTTCCACCCCTACATGTCAGCTTCGGTGAAATTTCGCATTCAAGCACCTGCCCGTTTTGGCGGTAAATCGCATAGCCACCTGACTTTTAGAGAAAAAAAAACAGCAACAACAAAGCCGATTCCTTTTTTTCTATTAATTTGTTAAAATGTCCACAATGACGTGGATATTAGAGAATGAGCTAGAGCGAGAGATAAAAACAAAGGACAAGAACTTCGTTGGGAGAACAACGTGAACATTGAGAAAATGAGAAATGCTAGCGGTCACGAACAGGGCTCGAAGTTAACCTTTTACTGCACTTGTAAAGTTTTGCTAGTAAGACTCTTTTCCACTAGTAAACTGGTGAGACCACTAGCAAAATCTTCCCTTTGAAATGTCAGTGACCATATCTGATATAAAGATTAGAACTGACATTCCGCACAGTCTATTACATGTAATAAGCTGAAAAGTTTAATAAAAAAAGGTATTAAATAATATTTTGGTCTCCTTTGTCGTTGTCCTGACAGACATGGATGATTCTAACTCGCAAAAGTTTGTTAGTGGATATTTTTCTCAATCGCACATTATCAAAATCACTCGCACTTTGCGAGTTTGCGAGCGTTAATTTCGAGTCCTGAAGGAAAATGAAAATGAGCGGCAATGAAAGAAAAAACAACACAATTTTTTTGACCACATACGATATTTCCTCCATAAAACGTGCCGCTAGGAACTTTCTAATTGTAGTCATGCAAATTAACTGCAAAGAAATGTACAAAAAAGTGTGTTGCACGTGGAAAGTTTTTTTTTGGTTTCTAAGACCAATCGATTTTTTTGGCCGATGTCATTGCTGTCGCCGTTTAACATTACACGTGATTCTATTTTCTGTTCGAGTAAGTCATAAGTATACACTGTATTAACGAGGGTTTGCTTTTAGCCCTGGCTAAATCTATATATTATTCACTCAAAACATTTCTCTGTTTCTGATAGGCTTAAAGGAGCTGTGTCACGAAAATTCCGACAAATTAGGTAATTACAAAATGTCCGTTAAATTAAGAGAAACCCAAAAATAACCGCTTAAAACATTAAAGGAAGGTTAAAATAACTCAACAGATACAGCAGATGCCACGGATGGGCAAAACTGAAGAAGATCGAAACGGACTGAAATTAGGGTTTTGAAAACTGTTCAGCCTAACAGTTTTTCAAAGTTGATCTCTGCTGTTTGTAGCTTCAGAAATAATGCCCAGAAGACATATTTGTTTGTCTTGAATCTCTGATTTTGTCATTTACATGTAATTTCTTTACTTACTTTAAGTCCCATAGCGGTTGAGGCCGAGTAGTTGCCAAAATTAAACAAAATGAACTGGACTGCCGTGACACAGCTCCTTTAAATTCGCCAGACTATTCTTCTTATCTTGTTAGCATTGACCAAGATGTTTCGCGATATCGATTAGTCTTCTTCGCTCGCGCTCAGGCTAGAGTCAAGCAGTCGGGAGCGTTGCTTGACTCCAGCCCGAGCACCTTTAAAGGAGACTAAAATTTAATATCAACAAGATTGACGTCAATCATATTGATATTGGATGAAAGTGTTATGCAAGCAACTTGTGCGCGGTGGCCGGCTCAGCTACTTTGGCAGTACACAGGTGAAGAAGAAAATTGAAATCAGAAATACAACGAGACTTTCAGAAATATGGTGTTAAGTTGAATAGATATTTACCGTTGTTCAAGTCTTTTGTAAAGAATTGTGTTGTTTGTACGTAGGACAAATACTATGTCAAACCATCTCTCTGGGAAAAAATCACATCCATGATAATCCACAACATTTCCACCTTCACACATCTGATCTTCCAGTTCATCCACTACCTGAAATAATATTATTTTAAGAATTCTATGAAAGTCAAATTAAAGATAATAAAAATAATGCTCATAAGCTATGGGCTCCTAACCCAATAAATTGCTTACGGAATCTTCTAAAAGAAGTGAAGGGTTGTTTTCTTTGATAGGAAACCACGCTGACTTCCTCCTAATCAAGTTGTAAAAGGCTTAATTTATTTTAGGCAAGGTTAAACTCGAGCCAGTGCAACCAGCAGCTTTACTCTCTCAGGCACATGTACTGTAGAGGTGCCCCTTTATGTTGAAGGGCTTTTTACATTATTGCCTTAGTATGGCTTTTGCTGCAGATCACTGCGAATCTTTTCTATGTCATTTTCTGCAAATTTGTGCAGATTCCTTTTGCCCCACCCTTTCATTTCCCCAGGGCGGGTGTGTCCACATAGGTAAGCATCTGGTCATGTAAGTCTTTTTCACTGGATCAGGATTCAGTGTGATGGTGCCTGTTAATGGCTGCTGCAGGCGTGTTTACCGCCTGCAGGGTTGCTATGGATATCTCCCTGCTATGCCTGGGTTATGTTAGACCCTACACCACTAAATTTTAAGGCACCAGTTCCAAAGATGAGCTTAAAGTAATACAAAAAGTAACAGTGCAGTAATGCTGGGGATTATCTGGTTAGACTTGCATCCCACGCACGGATGCAGGACAGCACACTGTCCCACGCTATACAGCTAGTCAGCCCTTTTGAGTGTAAAATAAATTCAGAATGCATGTGGCATTCCAGGAGGGCATATAATGCAGCAAAAAGTGCCTTCTGCTTACGGAAAATTATGCACTTTGTAAATAGCAAATTTGGCATAGGAAACTTCATCTATGCAATTTGAGACCAACTTGTCTGAGATCACATTGTCTTAAAATATCAGAAGTCTTGGCTAGTGGCTGACATGCTACCATGCTAGACAAATCCCTGTGGGAGGGGCAAGAGAACCTGGGTTAACTTTTGCTAAAATCAGGGATGAAAGTGTTGAGACACTTCTATATTTAAAATGGCCCCTTTTTGCATAGTGGACATATCTATCCCCTCCCCCTACTTACCCCAACCCCCTTCCCCCAAAATCACTGTTGTATTCCTTTTACTATAAACAATTGATTTGATCTGTTAGATTGATTGGATCTGTTAAATAAACCATTATTATTATCATTATCATCATCATCATCATTATCATTATTAGTACGAGAACCTAACCCCTAATTTCTGCTGGAAAATATATTGTGATGACTGCAAATAACCACATTTGCAGTTTTTCTGATAATATT